GAAAAACAAGTATTTACTTAATAGAAATAGAAGTTGGAGAAGTTTTTCAAAAACTACAATGATATATTAATACAAAATATGGGTGACCCCTGAAGAAACTGCAGTCACAGAGGAAGGAAAGCTGCTGCCTAGAATGCCATTAATTCACTTTCTGAGGGAGAAGAGGGACCAAGAGTTGGACAAAGCAAGGATCTGTTAACACTCAGAGACTCTGAAGAGTTGTTTCTGTTTTGAGTTATTTAGTTTGATCTATATGTCTAGCTCATTTGCTATAAAAGAATCAGCCAGAGTGTGAACCTGGCCAGGCAGCTGTCCTGTATCAGTGGTTGATTTCCTAGGATGAAGTTTCCTTTGTTTGGGATTGTAAAAGGTCAAACAATTTTGTTTGTTCCTCTCTTAACCAACAGCTCTTATTCTTAACTACAGGATAGAAGTTCAACCTTGAATAGCATTCAAACGGATGGTTCCAACTCTGCTTTTGTAGTACCTAAGATCAACTCTAGTTATTTTGAATATTTAATTTATTTATTTATTGGGACAGAGTCTCACTCTGTACCTAGGCTTGGAGTGCAGTAGCGTAATCACAGCTCACTAAACCTTAACTTCCCAGGATCCAGAGATCCTCTCACCTCCAGCTTCCCAAGTAGCTAGGACCACAGGTGTATGTCACCATGCCCAGCTAATTTTTGTACTTTCGGTAGAGATGGGGTTTTGTCATGTTGCCCAAGCTGGTCTTGAACTCCTGAGCTCAAACAATCCACCCACCTTGGCCTGTTGAAGTGCTGGGATTATAGGCATGAGCCACTTTGCCCAGCCTAAATATTTTAAAATTCCAAATATACTTAACTTTATTTTATTTATTTATTTTGAGATAGAATCTCACTCCATCTCTCAGACTGGAGTGCAGTGGCACAGTCTCAGCTCACTGCAACCTCCACCTCTCAGGTTCAAGCGATTCTCGTGCTTCAGCCTCCCAAATAGCTGGGACTACAGGCTAATTTTTGTATTTTTAGCAGAGACGGGGTTTCGCCGTGTTACCCAGGCTGGTCTTGTACTCCTGACCTCAAGTGATCCACCTGCCTCAGCCTCCCAGAGTGCTGAGATTATAGGCATGAGCCACCACACCCAGCTGCTTTTTTTTTTTTTTTTTTGAGACAGAGTCTTGCTCCGTCGCCTAGGCTGGAGTGCAGTGGCACAATCTCCGCTCACTACAGCCTTTGCCTCCCAGATTCAAGCAATTCTCCTGCCTCAGCGTCCCAAGTAACTGGGGCTACAGGCATGCGCCACCACGCCTAATTTTTTTTTGTATTTTAATAGCGATGGGGTTTCAGGCTGGTCTCAAACTCCTGACCTCAAGTGATCTATTCACCTCGGCCTCCCAAAGTGCTGGGATTACAGGCGTGAGCCACCACGGGTAGCCTAATTTGCTTTATTTTATGTAATATGTCACCTTGGGGAAGGAGATATTTTGATAAACTCTAGATACTCAACAAAGTTTAGATGATTGGGAATCCTTAATCTGTACTCCAAATATACAAAGTATTTTTTTAGAGCTGAAGGACCTGGGCAATGGGAACTTTGGAATCAGATCTTGTCACTTAACCAGTAAACTATGACTTGCATAAGAGATCCAGAGATGAAAGCTGGATCAGAAGACCCAAAACTGTTTGGTGCAAAGTACATAAAGTGCAAGTCAGGAGGTCTTGCCTTAGAGGATAGATATGCCAGAAGAAAATGGCAGAGAAAAAATATTTTTATATACATACATATATATGAAAATATTAAAAATATGTATATAAATATGTATATTTTTTTTTTTTTAAGATGGAGTTTTGCTCTTGTTACCCAGGCTGGAGTGCAATGGTGCAATCTCAGCTCACCGCAACTTCCGCCTCCTGGGTTCAATCAATTATCCTGCCTCGGGCTCCCAAGTAGCTAGGATTACAGGCTATTTAAAAAATATTTTTAAAATAAACATAAAATTAAAATACCTAGAATATATTTTATATGTAAATGTATAGAGCAAGAAAAGTAGCCAGCAGACAGCTGGCAATGTCTGGAGACGTTTTTGTTTATCACAACTGGTTGTGGGTGGAGGGGTGGGATGTGCTTCTGACCCCTAGTGGGTAGAGGCTGGGGATGCTGCTAAACATCCTACCTTACACAGGACAGTGCCCACATCAAAAACCTATCCAGCCGTAATTGTCTTGTTTTTTTTGGTTGTCGTTTTTTTTTTTTTTTTTTTTTTTGAGACAGTCTTGCTCTGTCCCCCAGGCTGGAGCACAGTGGTGCAATCTTGACTCACTGCAGTCTCCGTCTCCCGGATTCAAGTGATGTACCTGCCTCAGCCTCCTGAGTAGCTGGGATGACAGGCACGCACCACCACAACTAACTAATTTTTGTATTTTTAGTAGAGATGGGGTTTCACCACGTTGGCCAGGTTGGTCTCAAACTCCTAACCTTAAGTGATCCGCCAGCATTGGCCTCCTAAAGTGCTGGGATTACAAGTGTGAGCCACTGCTCCTGGCCCCTAAGTGTAAGCAGTGCTAAGATTAAGAAACCCTGACCTTGAGGAACTCCAGTTCTCCTTTATGGATGAGATCACAGGACACAGTCTGAGCTTTACAGGAGGCCAGATACAAATCACCAAAACAAAAAGCACTTAATTTTTTTGTTTCTCATTTAATGTCCATCCAGAAAAAAAGAGGGGAAAAAAGTTGCTAGTAAAGCAACTATGAAGGATGGATGCCATTATTCCATTGAACACTACCAAGTGTTTTTTTGTTTTTGTTTTTGTTTTTTGAGACAGAGTCTCACTCTGTTGTCCAGGCTGGAGTGCAGTAGCACGATCTTGGCTCACTGCAACCTCTGCCTCCCAGTTTCAAGCAATTCTCCTGTCTCAGCCTCCTGAGTAGCTGGGACTACCAGTGCACGCCACCATGCCTGGCTCATTTTTGTATTTTTAGTAGAGATGGGGTTTCACCATATTGGTCATGCTGGTCTTGAACTCCTGACCTCACGTGATCCACCCGCCTCGGCCTCCCAAAGTGCTGAGATTACAGGTGTGAGCCACTGCACCCAGCCACAAGTGTTTTTTATCACAGGTTTCAAGAACATTCAAACTCGCTATAATGGCTTTGTTGCAGAATGATGAAAAACAAACAAACAAAAAAACCTCCTATACATTTAAAAAATTATTTCCCAGTAATAACAAATCTGGCCAGGTGAAGTGGCTCATGCCTGGAATCCCAGCACTTTGGGAGGCTGAGGCAGGTGGATCTCTTGAGCCCAGGAGTTCAAGACCAGCCGGGGCAACATGGCTACCAAAAAAAAAACAAAAAAAAAAAGCCAGGTATGGAGGCACGGTTCACTGCAATCGTCACCTCCCGGGCTCAAGTGATTCTTCCACCTCAACCTCCCGAGTAGTTGGGATTACAGGCTCCTGCCACCATGCCCGGCTAAATTTTTTTTTTTTTTTTTTTTTTTTTGAGATGGAGTCTTGCTCTGTCACCCAAGCTGGAGTGCACTGGCACGATTTCTGCTCACTACAACCTCTGTCTCCTGGGTTCAAGTGATTTTCCTGCCTCAGCCTCCCCAGTAGCTGTGATTATAGGCATCCGCCATCATGCCCAGCTAATTTTTGTATTTTCTTAGAGATGGGGTTTTACCATGTTGGTCAGGCTGTTCTTGAACTCCTGACCTCAAGTGATCTGCCCACCTCGGCCTCCCAAAGTGCTGGGATTACAGGCATGAGCCACCGGGCCCGGCCTAATTTTTGTATTTTTAGTAGAGACGGGGTTTCACCATATTGGCCAGGCTGGTGTCGAACTTCTGACTTCACGTGATCCACCTACCTTGGCCTCCCAAAGTGCTGGGATTAGAGGCATGAGCCACTGTGCCCGGCCAATTTTTTTTTTTTTTTTTTAATAGAGACAGGGCTCTCGCTATGTTGCCAAGGCTGGTAGTGAACTCCTAGACCCAAGCAATCTTCCCACCTGGGCCTCCCAAAGTGCTGGAATTATAGGCGGGAGCCACTGTTCCCGGCCCCCACCCTATAATTAAAAGCAAAATGGCTGGGCACAGTGGCTCACACCTGTAATCCCAGCACTTTGGGAGGCTGAGGCTGGTGGATCATGAGGTCAGAAGTTCAAGACCAGCCTGACCAACGTGGTGGAACCCCATCTCTAGTAAAAATACAAAAATTAGCTGGGCATAGTGGTGTGCCCCTGTAATCCTAGCTACTCAGGAGGCTGACACAGGAGAATCGAGTGAACCCGGGAGGCAGAGGTTTCAGTGAGCTGAGATTGTGCCACTGCACTCCAGCCTGGGCGACAGAGTGAGACTCTGTCTCCAAAAAAAAAGCAAAGCATGGGTCATTATGTTAAGTGAAACATGCCAGGCTCAGAAAGATATATACTGCATGTTCTCACTCACATATGGGAGCTCATGGAAGTAGAGTAGAATGACAGTTACCAGAGGGGCTGGGAAGGGTGGTGGGGTGTGGAGAGATGAAGAGAAGTTGGTTAATGGGTACAAACTTACAATTAGATAAAAGGAATAAGTTCTAGTGTTTGATAGTTCAGTACGGTGACTATAGTTAACAATATTTTATTGTGTATTTCCAAATAGCTAGATTTGAAATGTTTCCCACACAAAAAGCGATAAATGTTGTAATAGATATCCTAGATTCTCTGATTTGATCTTTACACATTGTCTGCATATATCAAAATATCACATGTATACCATAAATATGTACAATTACTTTGTATTAATTTTTAAAAAGCAAAACGTGGGAAAATATATCTTCAATTTCAATTTCCTTTTGGAACCAGATACCCTTCGGAAAAGGTGCTAAGAGCCCACATTACCCTGGTTTAGCTTGTTGTACAGGTTATTAGAACAGAGAAGGAACACCTTGGGCCCAGGAGTGAGTGTTTCTTCTTTTACAGGTGTAACTAAAAAAGGTGGCTGGTCTAACTTGTGTGCCTTTGTCCTATAAGCCTCTGTAGGTGTGTGAACAGGATTACTTCTGCAACAAAAGCCTCCACCCAGCCACATCTTGGGAAAAGAATGGCTACTTCTCGGGGCGCAGTCTTTTTCATGCTGGCGGTATCCTGTGTTTGCAGTGCTGTTTCCCACAGGGACCAGCAGACTTGGTTTGAGGGTATCTTCCTGTCTTCCATGTGCCCCATCAATGTCAGCACCAGCACCTTGTATGGAATTATGTTTGATGCGGGGAGCACTGGAACTCGAATTCATGTTTACACCTTTGTGCAGAAAATGCCAGGTAAGTGCAACTGGGACCCTTACTAGAGTCTGTAAATCCACACTTTAGAATCTCCTCCCAGAAACAAATACGCCTAGAGTTTATCATGTGAATTACAGAATTGTACACCTAGCGGATGTCTTTCTTCAGAGAACTTTGAACTACAATTGAACATATGGTTTATTTGGAATTTTCTTGTTTGTTTGTTTTGTTTTTTTCGTTTTTATTTTTTAATTTTTTTTTTGAGACAAAGTCTTGCTTTGTTGCCCGATCTGTAGTGCAGTGGCATGATGACACATCATTGCACCCTTGACCTCCTGGGCTCAAGCAATCCTTCCACCTCAGCCCCCTGAGTTGCTGGGACTACAGGCATGTGCCACCATGCCCAGCTCGTTTTAAAGTTTTTTGTAGCTGGGCGCTGTGGCTCACGCCTGTAATCTCAGCACTTTGGGATCACCTGAGGTCAGGAGTTCAAGACCAGCCTGGCCAACACAGTGAAACACCATCTCTACTAAAAATACAAAAATTAGCTGGGCGTGGTGGCACGTGCCTGTAATCCCAGCTACTCAGGAGGCCGAGGCAGGAGAATTGCTTGAACCCGGTAGATGTAGGTTGTAGTGAGCCGAGATCGCACTACTGCACTCCAGCCTAGGTGACAGAGCGAGACTCCATCTCCAAAAAAAATAAAATAAAATAAAATTTTTTGTAGAGACCTGCTCAGGCTGGCCTCAAACTCCTGGGCTCAAGTGATCCTCCCACCTCGGCCTCCCAAAGTGCTGAGATTTTAGGTGTGAGTCACCATGCTTGCCCAGAGCACATGGTTTTAATTCAGTGTGAAATTAGGAGAGAGCTGGGCTGCCTGTAGTCTGAAACCCATGTGTTCAAAAAGAATAGCTATAATTTGTTCTTCCTCTTCTCTAAACGTGGGATACTCCAGGGATTTTGGGAGAAGGATCACATGAGAATTTCACTGCCATCCTTGGACATGAGGCTAGGAGACCCTGAAAGATTAACTTTTTCTGCATTGTCAGTGTTTTTTCCTCAGGTAACTTATGGAGCCTGGGGAAAGGCGGAGGAGCTAGGTGTCCACCAGAGAAATGGTAGCAGAAATGGACCCTGAGAGGTTGCTCTAGTCCCTCTTTCCAGTACTCCTGCAAGATATTCCTCACAAGTGGGATCATTTGGGATAACTTCAGGGAAGTCATAGGAAAGCTTGCAGAGCCCAGCATCTGAAGCAGCCTAACTTTTGGTAACCAGCTCTCTCTTCTGTTTTGTTCCATGGACAAAATAGGACAGCTTCCAATTCTAGAAGGGGAAGTTTTTGATTCTGTGAAGCCAGGACTTTCTGCTTTTGTAGATCAACCTAAGCAGGTGAGTTTCTTATGATTTGATGTTTAGATTCTCAATGCCTTGATAACTTGACGAAACCACTGCTGTTAAATATTTCGTGTTACTCACTAATGAGATTGAAGTCATGTGTGAGATCAGCTTTCTCTCCTCAGCTAATCTCCTGGATAACATTAATTATATTTCCCACGCTCATGAGGGCTGGGCGGAAGAAGGCTGGTAAATTGGTTGTGGTAATTTAAGGATGACACTAGCTTTGAAGAGATTGTTCCCTGTGTACTTACTGTTTAAAATTTTGAGTTGAAGCCATCAGTTGCATTTGTTCATGTAAATGCAGAAGGTAGACATGAAGTTCTATAGGGTATGATGTATAAACATGGTAGTTGAAGGGATGGTGAGCAGTGAATTCCATTTCAGAGTGCCTTGATGCAGGGTGGAACCATACCTATACTTGAGAAATTAGGCAACAACCCATGATGACAAAAATCTTTGGTGGTAGAAAATGAATAGAGAGTTTGTGGCAACTATATTTTATATTTGAGCACCCACAACATATTGCATCCTATGTGTCTGAGGCCACGTTGAAATAGAATAAGGCAGAATGTTAAACTTGGGGAGCAAATGTATAGGTATTTATTATTCAGTGTCACAAGAATAATCATTACCCAAATGCCTGATGTTAAAAATGATTTGAGTTTGGAGAACTGAGAGGATATATGGAGATATATATATATATATATATATATTTTTTTTTTTTTTTTTTTTAGACGGAGTCTCACTCTGTTGCCCAGGCTGGAGTGCAGTGGCCTGATCTCGGCTCACCACAACCTCCGCCTCCTGAATTCAAGCGATTCTCCTGCCTCAGCCTCCCGAGTAGCTGGGACTACAGGCATGTGTCGCCATGCCCAGCTAATTTTTGTATTTTTAGTAGAGACGGGGTTTTACTATGTTGGCCAGGCTGACTTTGAACTCCTGACCTTGTGGTCCGCCCACCTCGGCCTCTCAAAGTGCTGGGATTACAGGCATGAGCCACCATGCCCGGCCCTGAGAGGATGTATTTTCTTAGTTCAGTAGTACATGGATAGCAAATCTACTAGAAAAATTAAGAGCTGTTGAAAGCAACTACATTATTAGAAACTGACTTGGCATTTAGAAAAGATGATTGTGTTATAGTTGCTAACAATAACGATCAAAGGGCAGTCAGATATCAGAATAAAAGTTCACTCAGGGAAATAATGGATTTAAAATAATGGTTTTCATTTATTACAAATTGAGCATCTACTGTGTGCCATATGATGATACAAAAATGAGTCTGACATGTTCTTTAGGAGATCATCAAAAGTATTGCGTCATTGCTGCCACAGCTTGTGTGGCAACCACACGCACTCTGCCTCACGCACACAACAGTTTAGTGGTGGTAGGAGGTGTATCTCCCATCCCACACTTGAGGAAACCAAGTCCCAACAAAGTGACCTAAGTTAGGCCACAGGGCTAGCAAGCAAGTCTTCCAACTCTAACTCCTGTGTTTTCTTCACTATACCAGCCTAAAGCTGATTGATATGAAACATGAAATAATCAGCCAGGTGTGGTGGCACACGCCTGTAATCCCAGCTACTCAGGAGGATGAGGCAGGAGAATCGCTTGAACTCGGGAGGCAGAGGTTGCAGTAAGCTGAGATCGCCATTGTACTCTGGTCTGGGCGACAAGAGCAAAACTCCACCTAAAAAAAAAAAGAAAAAGAAATAATCAACTAAAATGATCACAATATAAAAGAATAATTGGGCAGGCATGGTAATCCCAGCACTTTGGGAGGGTGAGGCGGGTGGATCACTTGAGGTCAGGTATTCGAGACCACCCTGGCCAACATGGTGACACCCTATCTCTACTAAAAACACAAAAATTATCTGTGTGTGGTGGCACATGCCTGTAATCCCAGCTGCTTGGGTGACTGAGGCACAAGCATCGCTTGAACCTGGGAGGCGGAGGTTGCAGTGAGCCAAGATCACGCCACTGCACTCTAGTCTGGGCGACAGAGCAAGACTGTCTCAAAAAAAAAGAAGAAGGATTTTTATTAGGACTGTCAAAATAAAATGGATTCTCCTTTTTTTTTTGAGACAGAGTCTCCCTCTGTTGTGCAGGCTGGAGTGCAGTGGCATGAGCTTGACTCTCTGCAACCTCTGCCTCCTGGGTTCAAGCAATGCTCCTGTCTCAGCCTCCTGAGTAGCTGAGACTACAGGCGTGTGCCACCATGCCTGGCATATTTTTGTATTTTTTAGTAGAGATGGGGTTTCGCCATGTTGGTCAGGCTGGTCTCGAACTCCTGAACTCAAGTGATCCATGCACCTTGGCCTCCCAAAGGGCTGAGATTACAGGTGTGAGCCACCACCACACCCGGCCTGGATTCTCCTTCTTCAAAGTGGCCCACTTCTCTAGGTTTCTCCTGCTACAGAGCAGAGAGAGGTTGGCGCCCTATGCCACCTCCCTCCTCTTGCTCCCACAAAGTATGTTGACAGAATAGACCAGTGCCAGCCACTAAATGGACTGTTCATCAGATGAATGGGTTGTCTCTTTTGCAGGGAGCTGAGACTGTTCAAGGGCTCTTAGAGGTAGCCAAAGACTCAATCCCCCGAAGTCACTGGAAAAAGACCCCAGTGGTTCTAAAGGCAACGGCAGGACTACGCTTACTGCCAGAACACAAAGCCAAGGCTCTGCTCTTTGAGGTAAGTTTTAAAACTGCATCTTGGATCATTCTGCCCTTTTCCCTATATGAATACTTAATGAGGTTTTAGTCTTTTGGAATGTGACCACCACCTTCAATATTCCACCACTGCCAAAGCACTATGATGACTCTGACCGCTTGTTATAGCTAGTTGTTTACATTTTTAACTATCACTCTTAAATGTATAGAGCTTTTCCTAAAATGTTTAAAGTACTTTCTATCTAGGATATTCTTCAATTTTTTTTTTTTTTTGAGGCGGAGTCTTGCTCTGTTGCCCAGACTGGAATGCAGTGGTGCCATCTCAGCTCACTGCAAGTTCCGCCTCCCGGGTTCACGCCCTTCTCCTGCCTCAGCCTGCCGAGTAGCTGGGACTACATGCATCTGCCACTACGCCCGGCTAATTTTTTGTATTTTTATTAGAGACGGGGTTTCACTGTGTTAGTCAGGATGGTCTTGATCTCCTGATCTCAGGTGATCCGCCCGCCTCGGCCTCCCACAGTGCTGGGATTACAGGCATGAGCCACCGCGCCCGGCCGGTATTCTTCATTCTTTTAGAATTTTAAAGCAGAATCAGAAATTGTTTCTAATCAACTTTATTAAGATAAACTTACGTACAATAAAATGTATCTATTTTAGGCTGGGCACTGTGGCTGACACCTGTAATCCCAGCACTTTGGGAGGCTGAGGCAGGCAGATTGCCTGAGGTCAGGAGTTTGAGACCAGCCTGGCTAACATGGTGAAACCTCATCTCTACTAAAAATACAAAAATTAGCTGGGCATGGTGGCACACACCTGTAGTCCCAGCTACTCAGGAGGCTAAGGCAGAAGAATTGCTTGAACTTGGGAGGCAGAGCTTGCAGTGAGCTGAGATCGCACCACTGCACTCCTACCTGGGCAACAGAGTGAGACTCTGTCTCAAAAAAAAAAAAAAAAAAAAAGATTGAAGCTAAAAAATCACAGTAGGCCAGGCATGGTGGCTCATGCCTGTAATCTCAACACTTTGGGAGGCCAAGGTGGGTGGATCACCTGAGGTCAGGAATTCAAGACCAGCCTGGCCAACATGGTGAAACCCTGTTTCTAATAAAAATACAAAAATTAGCTGGACGTGGTGGCAGGCACCTGTAATCCCAGCTACTGGGGAGGCTGAGGCAGGAGAATTACTTGAACCTGGGAGGCAGTGGTTGCAGTGAACCAAGATTGGGCATTGCACTCCAGCCTGGGCAACAAGAGTGAAACTCCATCTCAAAAAAAAAAAATCATGGCAAAAAGGGACTCCATATTACAGGTGTACTAATTCAATCCCCTAAATCCATTTTCCTTTGACTGTCAGTACAGAGGACTTAAGTCTCTTATCCAAGGACAAGCAGCCTAGTATGTCTCTGTGAGAACCTGAATCCTGATTCCTGATTTATTCCTCATTTATTCAACATAAGAGTGCTTACAGGTGCAGTGGCTTACGCCTGGAATCCCAGAACTTTGAGAGGCCGAGGCGGGTGGATCACAAGGTCAGGAGATGGAGACCATCCTGGCTAACATGATGAAACCTGGTCTCTACTAAAAATACAAAAACTTAGGCATATGTGGTGGCAGGAGCCTGTAGTCCCAGCTACTCGGGAGGCTGAGGCAGGAGAATGGCGTGAACCCAGGAGGCAGAGCTTTCAGTGAGCCAAGACTGGGCCACTGTACTCCAGCCTGGGTGACAGAGTGAGACTCTGTCTCAAAAAAAAAAAAAAAAAGTGCTTACTATGTACTGGGCGCTGGTGAAGTTACTGGAATACATTCAGCGGGGAACCAAAAATACAAAAATGGTCTTTGCACTCCTGGAGCTTACATTCTACTTTCAGGAAGACAGAAAATAAACATCTGAACAAGTCCAAAGAAAGTTATATTAGGTGCTGTAGGTACTATGGAGGGGAAAAAAAAAAGCAGGGAAAGGTAGGTAGGGAATGGAGGGGAAAAAAAAAAAGCAGGGAAAGGCAGGTAGGGAATCTGGTGATAAGAGTGGGGGAAATGCTAATTTAAATAGGGCAGTCAGGGAAGATGTCTTTGATAAAATTCAGTTGATCAGAGATCTGAGGAGGATGAAGAAGCAAGTTATACAAGACATTTGTGGGAAGAATATTCCAGGCTAAAGAAACAGCAGGTATAAAGGCCAGAGACAGGTATGTGCTTGGTATGTTAGGAACAGCATCCAGGAGGTCAGCATAGCTGGAGAGGAAAGAGTGATATGAGAGGTAAGTAGGAGGTAACCTCAGATAGGCGGGGCTAAGGGGTGCTTATCATGTAGGATCTCAAAGTCCAGTGTAATCACTTTGGCTTTTTCTTTTTTTTTTTTTTTTTGAGACTGAGTTTCGCTCTTGTTGCCCAGGCTAGAGTGCAGTGGCGCTATCTCCACTCACTGCAACCTCCACCTCCCAGGTTCAAGTGATGCTTCTGCCTCAGCCTCCCAAGTAGCCGGATTACAGGCATGTGCCACCATGCCTGGCTAAATTTCTATTTTTAGTATAGATGGGGTGTCACCATGTTGGTCAGGCTGGTCTCAAACCCCTGACCTCAGGTGATCCGCCTGCACTTTGGCTTTTTCTTTAAGAAGGAAACCACTGGAAGGTTTTTTTTGTTTTTTTGTTTTTTTGTTGTTTTTTTTTTTGAGACAGACTCTCACTTTTGTTGCCCAGGCTAGAGTGCAACGGTGCAATCTCGGCTCACTGCAACCTCCGCCTCCTGGGTTCAAGCGATTCTCCTACCTCAGCCTCCCAAGTAGCTAGGATTACAGTTGCCCACCACCATGCTAATTTTTTTGTATTTTCAGTAGTGACCGGGTTTCACCATGTTGGCCAGTCTGGTCTTGAACTTCTGACCTCAGGTGATCCACCCGCCTTGGCCTCCAAAAGTGCTGGGTTGAGAGGTATGAGCCACCACGCCTGGCTGCCACTGGAAGGTTTTGAGCCAAGGAAAAACATGATTTGACATCCATTTTTAAAGCACCATTCTGGCTGCTGTTTTGAGAACAAACTGTAGGATGGGGGCGAAAAGCAGAGAAGGCAAAAGCATAAGCTCTCTTGCTGTGCTTCATCCTGTTCACTTATCTGTCTTTTCTTTAAAAGTTTGTTTATATATCACTTAACTGGTTTTTCCTGGTTGAAACAGGGTCCAGAGGTCATCATGTGGTATGTTTCATCCTATCAGAAATGAGAACAGCAAAGAGACTAGAGTTCTTCCTATCCTATTTGGAGAATTCTTTTTCCTTTCCCTTGATAATTATATAAACATAAGACTTAACACCCATATCAATGGTCTATATTATGGAGAGGCAAGATGTTTTTGCAAGATGTTCATTCCCATCTCCTGAAACAGGGTTCCTTAAGTCTGGATCCGGAGTCTCCCCACACTCTAGAGGCCCTAGCCATGTGCCAGAATCTGACCGGTGCTGGCAGCAGAGTACCTCAGCCCTTAGATGTGAACTCCACCACGGCGGGTTCGTGTCAGCTTATCTAAGGAATGGAGTGGGAAGACTCCTCCTAGTTTCCAGTGTATGTCCGGTAGAGTTTATCAGGTTTAAAAAGTTACAGGATCCTGATTTGAGCTGGCAGGATTAAATATATGCCTTTCCGTAGGTCCAGTTCACCTATACATTTAGATGGTTTGATTTAGCTTTACTTAAAGTCAAAGGAATCCCTGTGTTTGTGTTTTTGCAAGAAACTGGTAATGGCTTGCCTAGTTTCTTCTCTAGTTTCTTAGGGCAAAGGAATGAGTTTTGCCAAAATTTTATCTAGGAAAAATGGAGTAGTTTTCTTTTTTTTTTTTTTTTTGAGACGGAGTCTCGCTCTGTCGCCCAGGCTGGAGTGCAGTGGCGCGATCTCGGCTCACTGCAAGCTCCGCCTCCCGGGTTCCCGCCATTCTCCTGCCTTAGCCTCCTGAGTAGCTGGGACTACAGGCGCCCGCCACCGCGCCCGGCTAATTTTTTGTATTTTTAGTAGAGACGGGGTTTCACTGTGGTCTCGATCTCCTGACCTTGTGATCCGCCCGCCTCGGCCTCCCAAAGTGCTGGGATTACAGGCTTGAGCCACCGCGCCTGGCCAAGAAAAATGGAGTAGTTTTCTAAGTCTTACAGGACACTGTCAAAATATAGAAATATTGCCTTAGGGAATTCTTTTTTTTTTTTCTTCTTTTTTCTCTAGGTAAAGGAGATCTTCAGGAAGTCACCTTTCCTGGTACCAAAAGACAGTGTTAGCATCATGGATGGATCCGACGAAGGTGGGAGAGGTGTTGATGTGAGTTCTGGGGGAGAGGGGCAGGATCAGTGAAAGATCTAACTAAAGGAACTGGGGCCAGGGACGGGGTCCTGAAGAGAAAGGAATAAACAGAAGGAATGGGATAGCAGGAAATAGAAGAGAGGGAGAAGGAACATGTGCTCTAGACATGAAATTTAGAGAGAAAAAAAAAAAAGGATGGGGCCAGGAAAGAGAAAAATATGCTCTGGGATCTAATCCTTGTCTTTCTTTCTTTTTAGGCATATTAGCCTGGGTTACTGTGAATTTTCTGACAGGTAATACATCCTCAAGTTTATCTTCAGAGCTTCACTAGCTTTTACATGCATAGTCAGAAGAGTAAAAAAGCCCTTTCTTTCATTCTGTATTGTTTCTTCTTCTTTAAAAAAGGAAAGGAGGCTGGGTGTGGTGGTTCATGCCTGTAATCCCAGTGCTTTGGGAGACTGAGGTGGGTGGATCACTTGAGGCCAGTAGTTCAAGACCAGCCTGGCCAACATGGCGAAACCGTGTCTCTACCAAAAATACAAAAATTAGCTGGGCGTGGTGGTGTGTGCCTGTGATCTCAGCTACTCGGGAGGCTGGAGAATTGCTTGAACCCAGGAGGCAGAGGTTGCAGTGAGCTGAGAGCAGAGATTGTGCCACTGCACTCCAGGCTGGATGATAGAGCAAGACTCTGTCTCCAAAAAGGCCTTCAAAAAACAAAAAAACAAACAAACAAAAAACACCTGCCTTGAAGGCCTCTGCTGCAACGAGAGTCCTTCTGAGTTGACATTCACCTGCAGCATCAGGGCTGGGGAGCAGTGGAGTGTGTGTGGAATACCTTCAGTGCATGATAAGAACAAGAGAGACAAGTGTTGGGCTGCCCAGGATGTGGAGGATATTTAGAGCTGGCTCTCATTTGACAGGTCAGCTGCATGACCACAGACAGGAGACTGTGGGGACCTTGGACCTAGGGGGAGCCTCCACCCAAATCACGTTCCTGCCCCAGTTTGAGGTGAGTCATTTCATGAAGATCTGGTTAGAAGTGCACTTGGCAGGCATATCATGGTACCAAGAAAGAGGCATCCCATTTTCAGCCAGCAGCTCTACCACGCTTAGGCAGAGTCAAGTCAGTTAATAACTGGGTGAATGTTCCCTTGCCATCTCACTGTTCAGAATCCCTTCGATTCCTCAAGCCTAGTGAGATTAGCCGCTTAATCTGTCTTCATCTGATTTTTTGCTGGGAGGGACGGGTGGTGGTGTGAACATCTTCAAGTGATTACAGATCCTGAATAGTCTTTTTGCTTTTTCTGATTTGCAGAAAACTCTGGAACAAACTCCTAGGGGCTACCTCACTTCCTTTGAGATGTTTAACAGCACTTATAAGCTCTATACACATAGGTGAGAATGGGGACAGGGAAGAATAATATTTCATGTTGTATGTTCTCCTAACTTTTCTAAGTGTTCTCAAATCTGTTATTGTATCTGATCAGCAAAACAAAGTCTGTGCCAATTCCCTAAGGCCTATCACTGAAACCCAGGCCACTTACAAAGCCCGAGGAACTTAAGAACCTTCTCCATTCTTGGCCTCAAAAGCATTAATATATGACTTAAGAGTCAAAAATTGTCTGCTGGGTGCAGTTGGCTTCATGCCTGTAATCCCAGCACTTTGGGAGGCCGAGGTGGGTGGGTCACCTGAGGTCAGGAGTTTGAGACCAGCCTGGCAAACATGGTGACACCCCATCTCTACTAAAATACAAAAATTAGCTGGATATGACAGCGCATACTTGTAATCCCAGCTGCTCAGGAGGCTGAGGCAGGAGAATCATTTGAACCCTGGAGGTGAAGGTTGCAGTAAACCGAGATCACGCCACTGCACTTCAGCCGGAGCGACAGAGCAAGACCCGGTCTCAAAAAAAAAAAAAAGAGTCAAAAGTTTTCTCTAGGGAGAGGACACTTCAAGAAGGCTTAGGCAAAGCTTCTTGCCAACTCCTTTGAGCTGGCCTTTAGAGGTTCAGAATCCAGCCTGGAATTTGATCCTAGTTGGGGCTAGGAGCTAAGCTAAAGAGAGCTTTTCTGGGAATGGTTCCTAGTGTGGGACCCTAGGAATTGTCACCGTCTCTGGCCTTTGAATGATAACTGTGGGGAATTCTTACTGCATAGCCTTGATCCAAACTGTGCAGAAATTACCCCTTGTTGACCACAGGAGATGAATATGTCACAGAGACAGAACAAGGTTTTCATATTTCCAGAGGGAAACAGAAACCATGTTACTTTTGAAAGAGGTAGCTTTAGGCTAGAGAGCTTCAGGACCAGCATGAAATTGGTCAATCCTGTATTTTACAGTTACTTGGGATTTGGATTGAAAGCTGCAAGATTAGCAACCCTGGGAGCCCTGGAGACAGAAGGTTTGTCTGGGTACCTGTGCTGGGTGGGGGATGGTGAGGGTGACACAGATACTCCGCTTGCTTCTTCCCTTCCTTGATAGCCATTCTATGCAGGAAAAGATTATGTTGAATTGGGAGGCAAATGTTGTATAATGGACCTAATAATAGCAAATCCTTTTCTGTTTTATAAGTTCAGAAGTTTTGATGTATATTATTAGCCATTTTTAGAATGAGGTCTACTTGTACAGGGGGAACAGCCTATGTCTAGGCAGTTCTGCAGAAATCCCAGGCTTTAAGAATACATTTGGCAGGAGCTTGCTCAAGCCCTGAGCTTTACATTGGAGGCACAGGAAGCAGGGTCTGTTCTACATGCAGGTAGAACAACAGAGTAACTCCATTCATCTCTTCACAGTTGAGGTCAGGCAGAACTGGGTTCAGTCCCAGCATTGTGATTTGAGGCAAGTAACCTATCTGTGCCCCTTTCCTCACAGTAAATGAGAATTTGCATTTAAGGCACTTTGTACAGTAATCTGTTATTGGGATGACATCTATTTTTCATTTCAGAGTATACAAAACATCTTCAAGTGTATTTCATTTAAGCCTCTCAGCAACCAGTGAGGAAAGCAGCATAGCATTTCTTTCTTGTTTTTAGAAAGGTGGAAACTTACTGTATCGTAGGTTTTGGATCTTTGAGATATATGGACCCCTCTGACAGAAGCACATGCGCATGAAAATTTGCTTCTGGTTTCAGGGGGTTCACCAACCCCACGAAGCCTGTCTGTGAACCCTGAGTTAAGGATTCCTGTCACAGGATGTTGTCATGGAATTCATGTCATCGGATTTTAAGGCCCAGCCCCCACAGTGATTCTTTTCCGCCTCACTGGCTTCTTGTTTGCCTTCCTCCCTCTCTCTCACTCACTTACTTCTTACCTTGTGCCCTGGATTCTTTCAGGGACTGATGGACACACTTTCCGGAGTGCCTGTCTACCGAGATGGTTGGAAGCAGAGTGGATCTTTGGGGGTGTGAAATACCAGTATGGTGGCAACCAAGAAGGCAAGTGATGTTTTTTCACTGGTTAAATTTACGTTTACAATGGAAGCTCTGGAAAAGTCCCATGGGAAGCTTTTTCCAGAACTCAAGCTTACCTTTTTGCAGGGACTTGTTCCAAAGATCTTGGCATGCCTCCAAAGACTAATGTGAAGTGACAGGGAACAACGCAGCGGTCATTCTGCATCGACCAAGTGTCATGGACCCATTAGATACCTGCGCTTAGACAAGTGCTGTGGTGCACATCTACAGTCCCAGTTACTCAAAGGTTGAGGCAAGAGGATCACTTGAGCCCACGAGTTCAAGGCTGTAGTGCACAATGCCACCGCACTCCAGCCTGGGCGATGGAGACCCCACCTCTTACAAATTAATTAAGAAACCTATTCTAAGCCTAGGTCAAATGCAGCAGTGTGAAACCCTGTTTAGTTAATAGTTAGCTATTTAAATTATAGTAAAACTTAAAACCACGAGAAGAATGATTCATCTTCTTATAAAAGGTATATACCTGAATATCAAGGAATGAACTTGAATTCCCAGTGAAGGAAGCTGGCGAGCCCTTTAGCTACTTGCTTGCAAATGCTATGGAATGTAATGCTAGGCAGCAGCACAAGGTTGGCCATGATTTGGTGAATACAGATTAGGCAGGGGAGCGGGCATGGAGAAACAAGAGTGGTGAGGCTGCAGACGTTTGCTCATCTTTGTTTTGAAGCCTCTTGTCCCAAGCATCAGCCTTCTCTTGCTTTCCTTGACCTTCCTGCTATTCCCTCATTGTCTCCAGCAGCTTTCCTCAGAGAGTGTCCCCTTCCCCCAGCGTTGTTCTCACCTTACCCCTGTGCACCTTTGCCTGGCAGGGGAGGTGGGCTTTGATCCCTGCTATGCCGAAGTGCTGAGGGTGGTACAAGGAAAACTTCACCAGCCAGAGGAGGTCCAGAGAGGCTCCTTCTATGCTTTCTCTTACTATTACGACCGAGCTGTTGACACAGACATGATTGGTGAGTTCACCCCAGGTGTCAGTCCAGAGAGGAAGGTGGATAGGGCTGTGGTGGGGAAGGTCAAGGAGAAAGAGCACTTGAGGTGCTTTGTTGAGCTGATTACCCACCTCTTTTCTAGTCACTCGAACAAAAGGGTGGAAATGACTTAGAATCTTTTGGAGCTGAGAGATGACCAAAACAACTATATGATGTCTTTTTTTTTTTTTTTAACATGTTTATTGAGGTATAATTGGCATACAATAAGTGCATATTTAAAGTATACAATTTGTTAAGTTTTGTCATGTATACACCCATGAATCCATCACCACATTGAAGATAATAAACATATTCACCCCAAAAATTTTCCTCCTGTCTCTTTATGATAACTTTTCTTCTTATCACAAAAGTAATATTTTTGCCTGTGACAGTATATGTACCTGATCTGTCATGGCCTGAGAGATACGAATTAATTTCCTATTATTGTGGGGGTTTTGTTGTTATTTTGTTTTTTTGTTTGTTTTTTGAGACGGAGTTGCACTCTTGTTACGCAGGCTGGAGTGCAGTGGCGTGATCTCAGCTCACTGCAACCTCTGCCGCCCGCGTTCAACCGATTCTCCTGCCTTGGCCTCCTGAGTAGCTGGGATTACAGGTGCCTGCCACCATACCTGGCTAATTTTTTTTTAGTAGAGACGAGATTTCACCATGTTAGTCAGGCTGGTCTTGAACTCCTGACCTCGTTATCCGCCCGCCTCAGCCTCCCAAAGTGCTGGGATTACAGGCATGAGCCACTGCACCTGGCCTATTGTGTTTTATGGGTCTGTTTTTTTCATTGTGGTTAAACATACATAACATGGAATAGATTGTAAATAAATAAAATAGGCTGCATAGACTGGGTGCGGTGGCTCACGCCCGTAATCCTGGGAGGCAGAGGTTGCAGTGAGCTGAGATTGCGCCACTGCACTCTAGCCTGGGTGACAGAGCAAGACTCCGTCTCAAAAAAAAAAAAAAAAATAGGCTGCATAGATTATGTACATGTGTATATAATGAATGAATTTCCTTATGCTTCCTTGAAGGCGTTTTGATATCAGATAATCTTCGTTTTATTTCAGATTATGAAAAGGGCGGTATTTTAAAAGTTGAAGATTTTGAAAGAAAAGCCAGGGAAGGTGAGTTTGAGTGTCAGGGGAAGCCCTTGAAGGTAAGCCTGTGAGACTGCCTGCCAACTCTCGTGACCTAAAGTGATCTAAAGCACCTCAGTCAGCTCAGAAGGCCTGTCAGAAGGCTAGTTTCCTTTCTGAGTCTTCCAGTCTTTGCTAAAAGTTAGAAGCATTGGGTGGTAGCCAGGTATGGTGGCACACATCTGTAGTCCCAGCTACGCAGGGCGGGAGGATTGCTTGAGGCTGGAAATTCAAGGCTCTAGTGCACTATAATCACACCTGTGAATAGTCACTGCATTGCAGCTTAGGCAACATAGTGAGACCTCTGTCTCTAAAAAAAAATTTTTTTTTTCAGCTTTATGCAGCATAGAATTATGGGCAAGAATATGGGAATACAAGAGGTTTTAGGAGGCCGGGCACGGTGGCTCACACCTGTAATCCCAGCAGTTTGGGAGGCCAGGGTAGGCAGATCACCCGAGGTCAGCAGTTCAAGACCAGCCTGGCCAACATGGTGAAACCCTGTCTCTACTAAAAATACAAAAATTAGCCAGGCGAGACAGTGGGTGCCTGTAATCCCAGCTACTCGGGAGGCCGAGGTAGGAGAATCACTTGAACCTGGGAGGCAGAGGTTGTAGTGAGCCGAGGTCGTGCCACTGCACTCCAGCCTGGGCAACAAAGTGAGTCTCCACCTAAAAAAAAAAAAAAAAAAAAAAAGAGTCTTTAGGGCTTTAGGGAAATGGTGAAGACCTTTTTTTCTTCTACGCTTTCTTTTTTTCATTGAAATAGTGTTATCAGCGTTAATGAAACACTAAGCATCAAAAGACATGGGAAATAGCGACAGAGGCTTCCTTGAGAGGATCAAAACTGCCAATGAGAACTAGGCACAGTGGTTTGAGCCTGTAGTCTCAGCTACTTGGGAGGCTGAGGCAGGAGGATCGTGTGAACCCAGGGGCTTGAGGCTGCAGGGAGCTCCAGTCATGCCACTGCACTCCACCCTGGGTGACAGCATGAGACCTCGTCTCTAAAAAAAAAAAAATTAATAGAAAGTTTTTAAAAATTAAAAAATAAAATACAAATGATCTTATCCAGTAATCCACAGTAGGGTTAAATGATTATCTCCTTGTCTTCTGAGCCTCAGCATTAATAATAGATAAGGGACTTAGGGCCAGGCGTGGTGGCTCACGCCTATAATCCCAGCACGTTGGGAGGCCGAGGCAGGTGGATCACGAGGTCAGGAGATCAAGACCATCCTGGCTAACAAGGTGAAACCCCATCTCTACTAAAAAAAAATACAAAAAATTAGCCGGGCGTGGTGGTGGGCGCCTGTAGTCCCAGCTACTTGGGAGGCTGAGGCAGGAGAATGGTGTGAACCCAGAGGAGGAGCTTGCAGTGAGCGGAGATCGTACCACTGCACTCCAGCCTGGGCAACAGAGCGAGAGTCTGTCTCAAAAAAAAAAAAAAAAAAAATAGGGACTTAGGACTAAGCCCCCACAATAGGTCATAGAAACTTAGCAAATAAACTAGAGCCCATGTAAATGTGAATGGCTAATCATACCAGAGAACTGCAAGTTCTTCAGAAGCTGCAGTCTTTTTTTTTTTTTTTTTTTTTTTTTTTTTTTTTGAGACGGAGTCTTCACTCTGTCGCCCAGGCTGGAGTGCAGTGGCACCATCTCGGCTCACTGCAAGCTCCGCCTCCCAGGTTCGCGCCATTCTCCTGCCTCAGCCTCCGGAGTAGCTGGGACTACAGGCGCCCGCCACCGCGCCCGGCTAATTTTTTGTATTTTAGTAGAGACGGGGTTTCACCGTGTTAGCCAGGATGGTCTCGATCTACTGACCTCGTGATCCGCCCGCCTCGGCCTCCCAAAGTGCAGGGATTACAGGCGTGAGCCACCGCGCCCGGCCAGAAGCTGCAGTCTTACAGAGGCAGTCAGCTCACTGTCCAGCCTCTGAGGTGCCTAGGCATTAACCAGAGGGAGACTTCTGCTCTGCTTATTCTTCTTCTCCCCACCAACTTTTTTTTCGGAGACAGAGTCTTGCTTGTCACCCAGGCTGGAGTGCAGTGGTGCGATCTCGGCTCACTGCAACCTTTGCCTTCCGGGTTCAAGTGATTCTCCTGCCTCAGCCTCCCGAGTAGCTGGGATTATAGCGGCACACCACCACGCCCTGCTAATTTTTATGTTTTTAGTAGAGTTAGGGTTTCACCATGTTGGCCAGGCTGGTCTTGAACTCCTGACCTCAGGTGATCCACCTGTCTCGGCCTCCCAAAGTGCTGGGATTACAAGTGTGAGCCACCACGCCTGGCCCCCTATTCTACTTTCTAAGAGAAAATCCTACACCTCTCAGTTAGTTGCAAACTTGAACTCCAGTTTACTCTGTCTCTTTCAGTGTGTGATAACTTGGAAAACTTCACCTCAGGCAGTCCTTTCCTGTGCATGGATCTCAGCTACATCACAGCCCTGTTAAAGGATGGCTTTGGCTTTGCAGACAGCACAGTCTTACAGGTAAGAGACAGGACACCAGAATCCCATAACAGCCTTCTTTTGTGGGGGTTGAGAAGGAGTAAGAGCTTATTCAGTAATCAGAGTAGCCAGAAGTGAAATTATGAGGTAGTTTTGTTTGGGCTATGGACAAGGTACTGTGCTGGGCACCATGAATGTGGGAAATTACCTCAATGCAATGGTAGCCTCCAAGTGTATTACCAGGCAAGCTATTGCAGAGGTCACAGAACAGAAAGACTAGAAGCCCAAATTAAGATGCCAAGTCACATGGTTTATATATTTATTATTTTTTTGAGACGGAGTCTCACTCTTGTTCCTAGGCTGGAGTGCAGTGGCATGATCTCAGCTCACTGCAACCTTCGCCTCCTGGGTTCAAGCGATTCTCCTGCCTTGGCCTCCTGAGTAGCTGGGATTACAGGCGTGCGCCACCACTCCCAGCTAATTTTTTTGTGTTTTTAGTAGAGATGGGGTTTCACTATGTTGGTCAGGCTGGTCTCGAACTCCTGACCTCAGGTGATCCGCCCACCTCGGCCTCCCAAGGGCTGGGATTATAGGAGTGAGCCACCACACCCGGCCCACATGGTTTATTAAATCAGTTTAGAACTCAGGGTGAGAAGCAAGGGGAAACAGATGAAGAGATGAACACAGAAGACACGATGCAAGCAGGATGCAAGCACCACTCTCTCTGAATCTTGGGTTCCATTTGTCCTGGGTTTGTATGTCCTGCCTCTCTCTGCTGCTAATAGAGTGGTTACACATACTGGAGCTGAAGTTTGGTCATGGGAGCACAAAGACAAAAGTGCCTGAGGCCACCACACAAACTTGCCCTATTTGGAGAGGCCCCAGGGGCAGACACACCTGGCCAGTAGCATTAGCTCAGCCATCAACATGTACGATGGGTTTTCTTTGGCAGAGGACATGAGGGACCAAAAGGGTGTCACCAGTGAGTGGCTTTTTTTTTTTTTTTTTTTTTTTTTTTTTTTTTTGAGACGGAGTCTCGCTGTGTCGCCCAGGCTGGAGTGCAGTGGCTGGATCTCAGCTCACTGCAAGCTCTGCCTCCCGGGTTTTTACGCCATTCTCCTGCCTCAGCCTCCCGAGTAGCCGGGACTACAGGCGCCCGCCACCTCGCCCGGCTAGTTTTTTGTATTTTTTAGTAGAGACGGGGTTTCACCGTGTTAGCCAGGATGGTCTCGAACTCCTGACCTCATGATCCGCCCGTCTCGGCCTCCCAAAGTGCTGGGATTACAGGCTTGAGCCACCGCGCCCGGCCGTGAGTGGCTTATTTAAGGTCTCTTGAACACTGAATGCCTCATGCATATATAATGTGTCATATATATTTCATGTGTGCCTCGTATATTTAGTGCCTCTTGAATCTTAGGTCTCTCTTTGTCCTCCTGTCTCTCTCCATCTGTTTCAATACATGCAGGCTCTACTTTATCTGTAGTAAGTTATTTATCCCCACTTTTGGGCACGTGTCTAGGCTCGATTTCATCAGGTCAACAGAGAACAATCAACTGGTTTACAGACTTTTTTTGGTGGTGGTAGCATCTTTATCCAACAAAAACTTATGTAGAATATCAGTAATACAGCCGGGTGTGGTGGCTCACGCCTGTTATCCTAGCACTTGGGGGGCCAAGGCGAGTGGATCACCTGAGGTCAGGAGTTTGAGACCAGCCTGGCCAACATGGTGAAACCCCATCTCTACTAAAAATACAAAAATTAGCCGGGCATGGTGGCAGGTGCCTGTAATCCCAGCTACTTGGGAGGCTGAGGCAGGAGAATCACTTGAACCTGGGAGGCAGAGGTTCCAGTGAGGAGAGGTCATGCCATTGCACTCCAGCCTGGGCAATAAAGAGGGAAACTCCGTCTCAAAAAAATATATATCAGTAATACAAAACTATTCTGGTTGAAGCAGAGATTGGGGGCCTGAAACTCCTCTATAATTTGGCCTCCCTTTTTCCTTTGAAGCGTTTCTAAGAAACCCCTAAAATTCTGAAGAAAACAAATTGATAAAACTGATACACACTAATCTAATCCTCTTCTGATATAGTTGAGGAATTTGGGTCTAAAGTTTTGCCCAAGGTCACTAAGCTAATTGAGATAGATACTGGCTTATAATGTGTTAAGTTCCCTATTTGGTTATTTTTTTCTTTTTTCTTTTGAGACCGAGTTTCGCTCTTGTTGCCCAGGCTAGAGTGCAGTGGTGCAATCTCAGCTCACCGCAACCTCCACCTCCCGGTTTCAAGCGATTCTCCTGCCTCAGCCTCCCAAGTAGCTGGGATTACAGGTATGCGCTACCATGCCTGGCTAATTTTGTATTTTTTGTAGAGATGGGGTTTCACCATGTTGGTCAGGCTGGTCTCAAACTTCTGATCTCAGGTGATCCACCCACCTCAGCCTCCCAAAGTGCTGGGATTATAGGCATGAGCCACCACTCCTGGCCTTGTTTGTTTTTGAGACAGGGTCTTGCTGTGTCACCTAGGCTGGAATGCAGTGGCATGATCTCAGTTCACTGCACCCTCTGCCCCTCCCAGGTTCAGCCCACCGAGTAGCTGGGACTACAGGTGTGTGCCACCAGTCCTGGCTAATTTTTTTGTAGAGACGGAGTTTTTCCATGTTGCCCAGGCTGGTCTTGAACTCCTGACCTCAAGCAATCTGCCTGCCTTGGCCTCCCAAAGTGCTGGGAGTACAGGTGTGAGCCACTGTGCCTGGCCCCATGTTTGGTTATCATTAGTGCTTAGGAAGAGGCACTTGCTTACATAGTAGGAGTTGAGAAGCTTGGTTTGTTCTTTTCTAGCCCTAAATCTATTCTCATCTCCTGACCATGCCCTTTCTACCGCATCTATTACCATTACAAGTTGCCTTGTCTGAAATTAGTGAATCAGAAAATAAAGCAGGGGATACTTTGTGTAGTTTCAAGGTTAGGGAAAGAGTTCAGAATACTGTCTGTCTAAACTATCTCTCTAGAAGGCCTGATGGGCCACGACCTGGGCCAGAAGCATTCAGTTCAGAGATGAGAATGGCAGGTGTAGGGGCAATGGCCAATAGGCCACGGCCAGAAGGAAATCGTTACAGAGTAGTGGGAAGCCTGCAAAGACTGGCTCCTGTCAGTTTCGCCATGGTTTGCCCATGTGGATATTCTTTGCCAGTATCGTCTGCCCGAGAGCTGTGCTTGCTAGAGTTGGAAATTGGATGAAAAGGTGAAGACTTTTTTTTTCTTCTTAACAGCTCACAAAGAAAGTGAACAACATAGAGACGGGCTGGGCCTTGGGAGCCACCTTTCACCTGTTGCAGTCTCTGGGCATCTCCCATTGAGGCCACGCACTTCCTTGGAGGCCTGCATTTGCCAACACCTTTTTAAGGGGAGGAGAGAGCACTCAGTTTCTGAGCTAGTCTGGGGACATCCTGGACTTGAGCCTAGAGATTTAGGTTTAATTAATTTTACATATCTAATGTGAACTGCTGCCTAACCACTCAAGAGTACACAGCTGGTACCAGAGCATCACAGAGAGCCCTGTGAGCCAAGAAGCTTTGGAACTTAACCTTGGAGTGAGAGCCCAGGGACAGGTCCCTGGGAACCAAAGAAAAATCTCATTTCAACCCTTTGAGTGCCTCATTCCACTGAATATTTAAATTTTCCTCTTAAATGGTAAACTAAGTTGACTTACTGCAATCCCATGACCCATCAATATCAGTTTTTTCCTCCCTGTACAGTGCCCTGCCCACCCTTATCTGCACTCACCTCCCCTGAAAAAGAGAAAAAAAATACCTGATTTTGCTTTCCACATATAATTCACCACCACAAAATGGGACCATATCAGAATCTGTATGATCCTATTCTGTGTTAGCTCCAATCAGCCGAGAGCCATCCTAAATATTAGTAGGATGGAGAGTAACTCCTAACTGTGCATAGATTACAGCCTTAAGAAAGGGGGCCACCCAATCTCTGGGGACATGTTTTGGGAGGGTGTGGCTGCCTCATATAAGCCTACCTTTTCTTTAATCAGCATTTTATCAGTCAACTCTGGGATTAATGAACATATCCAACTTTATGGGTATGTGTATATTCAGTGCCAGTACCACCTCCCAGGCTAATGTGTTAACAGTGTTTTCTATGATTCTAAACTTGTTTTCTTTGTATTTCTAAGAAATACAACTAGGCCCTAACTTTTGGTCTGTGGTCAGAGGTCAGTGTCTGTGCTATTCCAGGATCTGTTATTTCAGTTTGCTCTTTTATTCTCTCCGTTTGTAACAGTACCTTCCTGTCCTGGCCCCTTACCACTTTTGCTAATATCCTCTGAATTATTTATCTAGTTCAGAGTTTCCAATACCGTTCCTGACAAAACCCCACTTGGATTTGGTTGGCTCTCTCAGCCACGTCAGTACAGTGGACCAACATTTCCAGGGAGAACCATATTTAATATCCCTCATGTTCTCTTTTTCAATCCAAGTGCTCAGAGCTCCTGACTGTGAATTATTTACCCCAAATTCATTATCTTGCACTTTTTTTTGAGACGGAGTCTTGCTCTGTTGCCCAGGCTAGAGTGGAGTGGCGCAATCTCAGCTCACTGCAACCTCCGCCCCCAGGTTCAAGCGATTCTCGTGACTCAGCCTCCTGAGTAGCTGGGATTACAGGCGCCTACCACCATTCCTGGCTAATTTTTGTATTTTTAGTAGAGATGGGGTTTCACCATGTTGGCTAGGCTGGTTTCCAACTCCTGAACTCAATTGATACACCCGCCTCCAAAAGTGCTGGGATTACAGGCATGAGACACTGTGCCTGGCCTTATCTTGCACTTCCTACATAATCATCCCTGCTTCTCATCTGCCCTGTAGTGCTCTTGGACCTGGAAGACCTCCCTGTGGTCTGGCCCCTTTGCCTTGGTTCTTAACCTCCAGCTTCGTTCCAGGAGTGTTTGTATTTCCCCAAACTGATGGCTTTCACAGTAGACGGTTTCCATCCTCTCTCACAAAGGATGTTAAATATGCCTGGCCCTCACACAGTCCATGGGAAACCTTATTTTATTTTTTTTGTTTTTGAGATGGAGTCTTGCTCTGTCACCCAGGCTGGAGTGCAGTGGCACGATCTCGGCTCAATAAATATTTACCATCTGCTATGTGCAAGTTACTAGACAAATTTGTTTCCTTGTCCCTAAAATTCTTGTCTTTAAATTCATTGTGGAATTTCTTTAGACTTCACACTGACTTTTATTACTAAGGTCACCTTTATACCAACTGCCTTCCTCAAAATTCTTATAATGAAATAACAGAATCTTGAGTTGGAAACAGTCCAAAGAAATAAGCCAAGGTTGTACTCAGTACAGAATTCCCTAGAATTCCTAACAGGCTGTCATTCAGCTTCTGCTAAGGCATGTTCAAACAGCTTATTCCATTTGGAACTGCACCAATGTTAAAAAAAATTCCTTATATTGAGCTGAAATCTGTCTGTCTTCTAAGTGGTCTTAGTTCTGCTCTAATCTCTCCTTCCAGAATCTTTGGATCTTTTGAGGAAAGCTCCTCCCAAGTTCTTTATTAAGTGACATGACTTTTAGACCCCTTCTGCTCTTTGTCAATAAAAGTAGGGTGCCAGACCACAGAACACTAATGTTGTCCATGTTTCCTCCAGTAGAAACCAGTATTTTACAAGTGGTAAGCTTCCTTCACTAAAGACTGTTCCAGCTTGACAAATGCAGAGATGTAAGTCTCTGGTCTTTAATCACGGCGGGGGCCATTTTGTATAGCACAAATACCATCCAACAGACTCCTTTGGTCATCCCGAATACCTCCGAACTCTAGGGTAGATGCATTCTAACTCCAGAAACTTACCTATATCTATTTTGTTAACCTTGATTAGCCCTTCTGGAGAAGTAACCAATTTGTCCATTTTAGGAGCAATTTGGAATGAGAATTTTTATTTTTTTTCTGTAAGGTCCATCCTGCCTGCAGTTGACCCTTTGGGCTTCTTAAGAGGTCCTACAGATTCTAATAGTTTCCTCTTTGTAGATGTGTTAATATATTTAAAATACTTAGGACATGGCCTGGTACATGACAGATGCTGTTTAACATCATTGTCATATGAAGAACACTCTGTGGGCCAATGGAGGTGTGCCTTAAAATTCTTCATCTTGCCTGATTTTGTTTGCATAACTTCTGGAGAGTCTGTGTCCTCATCTAGGCCACTTTTCCATTTGTTGTGAAAGATGACCTTGTCCCTGCAGTTTCCGCCAGTAGTCACACAGCTTTTCACAGCAGCTGCCATCTTTAATTCTTTTTCCTGAGATTCCAGGAAGGTTGCAACATTGTCACTTTTTTGTTCTAGAATCTTTTAAATTTTCTGCATTTGCCTGAAAAGCGCCCCTATAAGAATAGATTTCCCATGGCTCTAAAAATTATTCCCAATAATACCTTACTTGGTTCAAAAGCAGACTGTTTCCCCTCATTTCATCTCAAATCAGACTTTTGGGCAAGATGTTCTTCAGAGTAAGCAAATCCACAACCTAAAAATCTCTTCAAGAGGCATATCTGGTCTTGTGAAGAGACCTCTTCAAAAACCCACAGTAAAACTCCCTTCCCTCCAGTTGGCCACCAGTCTGCCACCAAACACGAACAAATTCTGCTGCTAATCGGTTTCCCTTGTGATCTGGTTCCTGAGGTCTTCGGATCTGTGCAATGAATTATTTATTGTTTTATTAAACAGAGGTGTCCCAGAGAGGAACCATAAATAAAATGGAAATCTGGTGCTGTGATAAAGTAATAACTAGCATTAATGAGACCTGGTTTTCCTTTCAGAAAGTCCAGTGTACCTGTAACAAAGGTTAAAGCAATTTATATTTAATTTGCATTCTGATGTTAACTTTTAAACAGCAATTCTAACAAAAATGCATCAACTATTTCTAATTCTTACCTCTATCAAAAAACAACTGTATAAATTTAAGACCAACACTAAAACAAAAACAAAACTGTAAATTTTCTCTTTAGAAATGATTGTTAACAATTGGAAATGAGTGTGACAGCACCTTGTGGGTTTTTTAGTAATAAAAAGCTCTTTTCAACCACATTGTAAGTATTCCTTCAAAGGTTTTTCCTTTGGTCTGGCTAACGTACGCTCCTCACAGCAAATTATCATTCATTATTTGGGTGCCACAGGCCCATTAAGCAAAGAAGAAAAAGAGAATTCTAATGTAAAGTCAGTTTATTAAATTAAATAAGATCTTGAAAATATGTATGATGGGTCTTGGGGGAGGATGTTCTTTTTCATCAACATAATCTTTAGGAGAGGAGTACTCATTTGCTTGCAAAGGCCATAATCTGTTCCTGGAGAAAAAATATAAGTGAGTGAAACTCTTAACACTGTAAGGTGAAGAAAATAATTATTGTAGATAATTCTCTACAGAATTATTATTGTAGATAATAATCATGTAGATATTCTTCCCAAGAGTCCCTGTTTTATTTCAGCTAAAAAAAGGAATATATACGTATCTATAAACACATGTTTTGGAGACAGGGTCTCACTGTGTTGACTGGGCTGGAGTGCAGTAGTGTGATCATAGCTCACTGCAGCCTCAAACTCCTGGACTCAAGCACTCCTCCCTCCCCAGCCTCCTAAGGTGGTGGGATTACAGGCATGAGCCACTGCACCCAACAGAAAAAACGTATCTTTAAATGAAAGTTTTCAGGATGAAACCAGCCAAGCAGCGAAAGGAGCTTAAACATCTTCATCATTAGAAATCCCTATTCATTATTTTTTTTTTTTTCCCAAGAGACTGGTCTTACTCTGTCACCCAGTCTGAGTACAGTGATGTGATCATAGCTCACTGTAGCCTCAAACGCCTGGGCTTAAATGATCCTCTTGCCTGAGTGTCCTGAATAGCTAGGACTACAGGCATGTGCCACAACACTCCCTATTCACTATTCTTAAGCCCTTCTTATTAGTTACTACTTAGATGTGGGCTGTAATACCTAAAAGCCTAGCAAGTACTCTTCTGCTCGTAACCCTTGAGAAGGCAGACACATAAAGATAATAATTTTACAGCCAAGAAAATTAATTCAAAGAAATTAAGAGCTGTGAGCCAGCCGCAGTGGCTCATGCCTGTAATCCCAGCACTTTGGGAGGCCGAGGCAGGCGGATCACAGGTCAGGAGTTCAAGACCAGCTTGGCCAACATGGTGAAACCCCATCTCTACTAAAAATTAAAAAATTAGTTGGGTGTGGTGGCAGGTGCCTGTAATCCCAGCCACTTGGGAGGCGGAAGCAGGAGAATCACTTGAACCTGGGAGGCAGAGGCTGCAGAAATTGTGCCACTGAACTCCAGCCTCGGCGGTAACAGCAAGACTCTGTCTCAAAAAAAAAAAAAAAAAAAAGAAATTGAGAGCTGTTTGCAAAGTCATTCCTCTGAGCAACCTCTTACTTTGAGTGGAGACACTGCATTTGTGGCCTGCAAGCCCCATGTCCTGAGCAACACAAGTGGGGCGGCACTGGTAGAATAGAGCCTTTTTAGTAAGTCTGTAGCAGCCAGAAGAGCAGTGTTGTGACGCTGTCTTTCCGTTTCATAACCTGTGAGGTGGCTCATGGAACCTGAAAGGCAGAGGAAAGATTAAATCCCTCATCCAATAATAAGGTTTTCTTCCCTCTCCTAACAAGCCACCATATATATTTTATGTCCACTCCCTCTTGCTACTGTGGGCCCTGATTTTGCCTAACTATAAGACCTCTGGATACTTCTCCACAGTACCTGAATCCTTACCTAAGTCCTTCCCATTGAAGGCTGCCGTACTGAGGTGATGGGCCAAGCTGGAGATATCCCCAAAGCCCATGTTGACACCCTGTCCTGCAAGCGGATGGACTCTGTGGGCTGCGTCCCTAAGAATAAAGCAGAGTTCAGGTGTGACGTCTGGCAGCAAGGTGAGAAGGGAGTGGCCCTGCGCTGTTATCATCTTACCCAATGAGCGCCACCCGAGGCCTGACGTACTCAGCAGCATGTCCCAACCCAAGAGGAAACAGAACTCGGCTTTTGGCATCCACCCTGGCTACGCTTGGGGGCAGCTGGCGAGCCGAGACCTTCGTGGGCTTCAGAAGGCCGACAGCATATTGCAGCATGGCACCAGCTGTGTCGATGAAGTCCGTGTGGTCAGCATCACTCCACTGAGCAGCACCAGCCACAAGACACACAAGGTGAAATTTGAGTAGCAGGGAATTAAAAATTCAACAAAGAAACCTTGTTTGTAACCAAAGCTTAGGCTAATGCTACCCAACTTGCCTACACTGATCTTGACAAGTGATAAGCCCCTCAAGTGCACAGCTCAACTTCTCATCGCTCCCCACAGGTTTTAAGATCAAGCCAAACTGCACATGAGCTGGCCCCTGCCTACTGCTGAGCTTCACCTTTCACTAGTCCCCACCCTCAATAACCATACACCGGCCACAGTATAGCTCATCACACAGTATCCTTCTACCTCCACGACTCTCCTCTGCTTAGAATGCCCGTCTCTATTTCATTAGGATAACACCTCAGAGCATCCAGAAGATGTCGCTTCTTTTTAACCCCTCCAGTCTTTCTCTGTGTTTCCTCCTGTATGCTTCCCCAGCATCCTATGCATACTTCTATCACTGTACGGAGATTGTCATTTACGGTCTTCCTCGCCTGACTATGAACTTCCTGAAAGCAGAGACTGTTCTCAGTATCTCCAGAGCCTGCTACATAGAAAGGACAATTAATGGTGAATGACTGCACTGCAGAGGTCCTAGACCTGTGCCAGGAATATATACTAAATGGCCCAGAGTGGGGTAGTGTTCACCATTTATCTCAGAATCCACTTCATTATGTTCAGTTCCTTTCATTATTGTTGCTACTACAGAGCAGTGGAGTCTAGTTCTTTGGTGTGAAGGTGGCAGGCTTTGAGTGTCATTTAGGCACCAAAAGTAATACTGGTACCCCTATTATCCAAAGGCTGTGTCTACTCCAGAATAGTTATTAGTATTTGTTGAGCACCTACAATCTACTAAAGATGTTCCATGCATTTTACAAAAGTTCTCTCATTTTGAAAGTCTTCATTCAATCCTGATAAGTTAGTGATACTATTTATATTTTTCAGGAAATGAACAGGTAGAACCAGTATTGAACCCACCTACTAAGCTTACTCTTAAGCCCCATGCTGATATTCGCTCAGCCTTTCCCTAGGAATACTTCCAATGAATTAGGCTTGAAAGGTTCAGGTAGCTGGAACCTAGCAGAACTGTTCCAAGTGATGCAAGTGTTACAGCTTCAAAAAAAGGCCAATGCTAACCACCACCCAGGCAGCTGTTTCAGTCAGCCTAACAGCAGCCCACAACCCTCAAAAGGTTATTATTTATTATTTCTATTGTTTTGCATTTCCCTGTATGCCCTCCTCCACATAATCCAGACCAAGCATTATAGTTACAAAGTACAAAGGGACAGCTGACTGGTTACTCCTTTTTCCTGACTCAAAACCACCTTTCTGGCTGGGCATGGTGGCTCACGCCTGTAATCCCAGCACTTTGGGAGGCCAAGGCAGGCAGATCACTTGAGGTCAGGAGTTTGAGACCAGCCTGGCCAACATGGTGAAACCCCATCTCTACTAAAAATACAAAAATTAGCCAGGCATGGTGGCACATGACTGTAGTCCCAGCTACTCGGGAGGCTGAGGCAGGAGAATCACTTGAACCCGGGAGGCAGAGATTGCACAGTGAGCCAAGATCGCACCACTGCACTCCAGCCTGGCAAGACTCTGTTTTTAAAAAAAAAAAAAAACAAAAACACATCTTTCTTTTTTTTTTTTTTTTTTTTGAGACGGAGTCTCGCTGTGTCTCCCAGGCTGGAGTGCAGTGGCGTGATCTCGGCTCACTGCAAGCTCCGCCTCCCGGGTTCACGCCATTCTCCCGCCTCAGCCTCCCAAGTAGCTGAGACTACAGGCGCCCGCCACCTCGCCCGGCTAGTTTTTTGTATTTTTAGTAGAGATGGTGTTTCACCATATCAGCCAGGATAGTCTCGATATCCTGACCTCGTGATCCACCCGCCTCGGCCTCCCAAAGTGCTGGGATTACAGGCTTGAGCCACCGCGCCCGGCCAAACACATCTTTCTGTATGTCCTCCTGCAACACATCATTAGCTGGGTATATTGATACTCACGAAGGCAGAGTTAACGGCATCCACAAATTTTTCCTCATCCATGCTAACTAGCTGTGCTGCATGTTCATGGGACGTAGACCAAACCAAGGAACTCAAGGTGTCTGAAAGCTGTGTCAAAAGAACACCAATACCAAGAGCTAAGATTCTTCTGCACTTGGGAACTCTCAAGCATAAAAAGATAAGAAGGGAACTTACAACCAGCCTGGACAGATTCCCTTGAAACCAGAAAAAGGCTGAGAGAAAGGGAAGAGGAAAGGCTGCATGCATGTGGGCAGACTGGCCAGAAGGACCTCTTACCGGGAGCAGAGCAATAGGCCCAGAGGGAAGAAATCTCTGCCAGGCTACGTTGTTTTCTGTGGCCTGCAACAGAGAGGAGAAAAGTTTCTCTGCGAAGTACCTAGTGCCTATGAATAGAGTCCCCAGATGGCAGCTCAGCATCTTACCTCTGATAAATGCAGAGTAGCCACAACAGCAGACTGGTCATAGTTCCAGCTCACATTCTGGATTCCAGCAGCCTGCCGTACTCCGGAGTTGTGACCATCTGCACCTATCTGCATGGACACACGAGCCTGCTAAGTCTTACAGCCTCTTCTTAAACTGCTTCAGAAGTTTTTCTCTGCCCCCTAAAGTTTCCTCCAGCTCTGATTGTTGGTGAGCCCATTCAGGATAATTCCATCAGGCCTGCTTCACTCAGAGCCCCTAGAGGCGGAGCCCCTGCACTGTGTCACCTCAGCCTCAGCCAACAAAGCCAAAGCTGGACATGACTCAAAAGGTGCCAGCCATGAGTTAAACTCAGCCAGGCCCTCCTGATATTTGAACTAGAGAGCAATAAGGAAAGTTTCAGTATGGGGCACACACTGGAGCTGAATAGTTCTGATGTAGGGTTAGGAATGGCTGCCATGCAAAAAGGGAAGCTTGTGAGCAGAAAGGAGAAAAATGAGAGGCAAGAGATCAATGACCACAGACTCCTCAGAGGGAAAGAACAGCCTCCATTCCCTACACTGTGGTGCCTGCCCTGTGAGGCCCAGCTATCTGTTATTTCATGACCTAAGATGGCCCATGAGATTGCTTCCTGTACAGAATTTAGGATGAGACCATCTCAACCTGAGCTGGCCTGAATGGGTACCAGTCCTTATAACCAAAAGCTTTGCCTAAAATTAAACTATAGCTTAGATCTAAAACCAGAGTCCCTAGAATCTAGGATAAGATGTAGATATACGAGACCCCTAGCAAAGTAAGAATCTTCAACTACCAACAATTTGGTCTGGAAGGTGCTGCCATCACCTAGGGTAATATGAACCCAAGGGCTGGAGTCTGCCATAGGAAATGGACAAGGCCAGGTATAGCGAATGGCTTTGCTCCTGTAGAGAACCGTCACTCGGTCTGGGGAGTTCAAAAGAGAGAAAAAAAAATTAGAAAGGCGGGCCACATAGGCTGAGGAAAAAGCCATAACTAAACCTAAAGCAAGGTCCCAGGACAGCAGTGTCTTGTCATTTAAGATTAAAAAAAAAAAAAAAAAAAAATCAGTAATTAATGCTATGGTCTGAGCTAATAAATGACAGAAGCCACAGAGGTAACTCAATGTCAAAAAAAGACACTGAAGTTCTCAGTGAACTCTGTCAGAGGCACTCTTTCTTACTGTCCACATGCTTCTGCGCCTCCATTTTCACTCAGCGCCTAAATGAGCCCGTGTGTGCTTTTACAGTAGACAAGCTGGGAATACCGTAGGCTGAAACAAATCCTAGACTACAAAATATTTTCTTCCAGCTGGAAACCATTTCATTTTTCTGGTCATAAAAACAATACGCTCTATAGCCAGGCACGGGTGGCTCATGCTTGTAATCCCAGCACTTAGGGAGGCTGAGGCAGGAGGATCACTTGAGCCCAGGAGTTCATGACCAGCCTGGGCAACATGGTAAAACCCCATCTTTACAAAAAATTAACCAGGCATGATGGTGCTCACCTGTAGTCCCAGTTAGTCAGGAGGCTGAGGTGAGAGGATTGCTTGAGCCACTGCACCCCAGCCAGGGAAAACAAAGCAAGACCTTGTCTCAAAACAAAACAAAACACTATCTCCAAAAACATCAGACTGTATACATCATTTACAGCTTTTTGTATGTCAGTCAGTCATACCCTCAACAAAGCGATTTAAATAATAATAGTAAGCTCACTGTACAAGTTTGGACAACAAAGAAAGGTTAAAGTGGGGAAAAATCACCCTTAATGAAACTACTCAGAAACAACTGCAGTTACAGCTTTGGTGTATGGCTTTCCAGACAATTTCCTATGCATGTACATACACACACAAGTGTGATCATATGACCCAATATATTATGGAACAAATTTCTGAGTTATTAAATTTTAGATCCAAATTATCTTTAAAAGGTACATCGTGGTTCATTACATGAACTACTATTCAATATCAAAAAGCATTTAAGTTGCTTCCAATTTTTCTCTCTCTAGAACAGTAAGATATTTGCAAATCGCATAACTGATAAATTTATATTCAGAATATATAAAGAACTCCTATAACTCAAAAAGAGAAATAATCCAATTTAAAAACAGGCAAGGCTGGGCACAGTGGCTCATGCCTGTAATCCCAGCACTTTGGGAGGCCAAGGCTGGTGGATCACGAGGTCAGGAGATCGAGACCATCCTGGTGAACACTGTGAAACCCCGTCTCTACTAAAACTTCAAAAAAATTAGCCGGGCGTGGTGGCGGGCGCCTGTAGTCCCAGCTACTCAGGAGACTGAGGCAGGAGAATGGCATGAGAATGAACCAGGGGGGCGGAGCTTGCAGTGAGCGGAGATCGTGCCACTGCACTCTGGCCTGGGCAACAGAACAACACTCCGTCTCAAAAAAAAAAAAAAAAAAAACAGGCAAAAGATTTTGAACAGACATTTCTCCAAAGTGGATACACAAATGGCCAGTAAGGACACGAAAAGATACTTGGCATCATTAGTTATTAAGGAAATGCAACCACAACTACCATGAGATACCACTTCACTCTCAACAGGATGGCTACAGTTTTTTTTTTAAAAGAAGGAAAATAAGTGTTGGTGAGGATGTAGAGAAATTGGAACCCTTATATACTGGTGGGAAAGTGAAATTGCATAGCCTCTTTAGAAAAGTTTGGCAGCTTCTGAAAATATTAAACATAGAATTATTATATGACCCAGCAATTCCTAAGTATCCAGCACTGTGAAATAATCATCAGAGAATTCCTTTTTTTGAGATGGAGTCTTGCTCTGTCGCCCAGGCTGGAGTGCAGTGGCATAATCTTGGCTCACTGCAAGCTCCACCTCCTGGTTCACGCCATTCTCCTGCCTCAGCCTCCCAAGTAGCTGGGTCTACAGGCACCTGCCACCGTGCCCGGCTAATTTTTGTTTTGTATTTTTAGTAGAGATGGGGTTTCACCATGTTAGCCAGGATGGTCTCGATCCCCTGACTTTGTGATCCGCCCGCTTTAGCCTCCCAAAGTGCTGGGATTACAGGCGTGAGCCACCACACCCGGCCATCAGAGGATTTCTTTATGGTGGACACTGAATATTGTAAAAGAGATCCTTTCTTCCAGTAAGTCCTAAGCAGTTCACTTCCCAATGAATGCAAGATGGAAGATGGGGGCCTCACCAGACACAGCCTCCAGCTGCTTAGTGAGAGCATGCATGATGACATCATTCTCCACAATATAGCCCATATCATCTAAATTATCCTTATCAAACATTATCAGGGCCTCTGAGCAGGCATCCCACACCTGGAAACACAAAAGGAAAGTTTGCATTAAAACCAAGAAGGAAACATCACTCCAATCAGAAACAATATTGCTTTCCCAAGTGACAGAGCAGAAAAATCACAATTGTCAGCCTCTCTGGCAGGAAAATATAAAATTAGAAGATTCTGGGAATGCTTCTCCCCACTTCGTCAGACTGTGAACCTTGTCTGATTCCTCTTACATTCACAGAACACTTGAAGAAAGTGGACTCCGATAGCTTAACACAAGACAGACCAAAACATCTTGACAAAATTGAAAAAGATAAAGGGGCACCTGCATTCGCCGAAAGGCTCTGTATCTCATGTTGCAGATATGGTCCCAGGCACCAAAACCTACAAAAGAAAGGATCTATAGACCAGAGTGACGTCACAGGGACCTGGGCTCCCCCTTGTCCCTGCATCCTGTTATGTAAAGGGTTGTTTTCAGTATTCTTCAATAATACTCTCCACTTCTATCTTGTTTGATGTTAGTACCTAAGCTACTCTGTTCCCCAGTTCCAGGTTGCATAGCATGAAAAACCACCCAGCTTCTGCCGGGCGCGGTGGCTCACGCCGGTAATCCCAGCACTTTGGGAGGCCGAGGCGGGCGGATCACGAGGTCAGGAGATCGAGACCATCCTAGCTAATACGGTGAAACCCCGTCTCTACTAAAAAATACAAAAAATTAGTCGGGCGTTGTGGCGGGTGCCTGTAGTCGCAGCTAATTGGGAGGCTGAGGCACAAGAATGGCGTGAACCCGGCCGGGCGCTGTGGCTCAAGCCTGTAATCCCAGCACTTTGGGAGGCCGAGGCGGGTGGATCACGAGGTCAGGATATCGAGACTATCCTGGCTGATATGGTGAAACACCATCTCTACTAAAAATACAAAAAACTAGCCGGGCGAGGTGGCGGGCGCCTGTAGTCTCAGCTACTTGGGAGGCTGAGGCGGGAGAATGGCGTGAACCCGGGAGGCGGAGCTTGCAGTGAGCCGAGATCACGCCACTGCACTCCAGCCTGGGAGACACAGCGAGACTCCGTCTCAAAAAAAAAAAAAAAAAAAGAATGGCGTGAACCCGGGAGGCGGAGCTTGCAGTGAGCCGAGATCGCACCACTGCACTCCAGCCTGGGTGACAGAGCAAGACTCCATCTCAAATAAATAAATAAATAAAGACCCAGCTTCCATGATCAAAAGGTCGAATCACATAAAGTAGGGGAAATAAAAAAAGAAAACTAAATCCATATTGTTCTTTTTCTTCATCATCCTATTGAAGTTATAAAACTCCTAAAGACAATTTTTAAAAAATTATTTTTACAAAGGATTTCTAGAAACTTAAAACCATTTGTCTTTTCTTTTTCTTTTTTTTTTTTTTGAGACGGAGTCTCGCTCTGTCGCCCAGGCTGGGGTGCAGTGGCCGGATCTCAGCTCACTGCAAGCTCCACCTCCCGGGTTTACGCCATTCTCCTGCCTCAGCCTGCGGAGTAGCTGGGACTACAGACGCCCGCCACCTCACCGGGCTAGTTTTTTGTATTTTTTAGTAGAGACGGGGTTTCACCGTGTTAGCCAGGATGGTCTCAATCTCCTGACCTCGTGATCCGCCCGTCTCGGCCTCCCAAAGTGCTGGGATTACAGGCTTGAGCCACCACGCCCGGCCCATTTGTCTTTTCTTTTTCAAGATACAAGGTCTTGGTATATTGCCCAGGCTGGACAAACTCCCCGGCTCAAGTGATCCTCCCATCTCAGCCTCCCTAGTGGCCAGGACTACAGGTACACATGACTGTGCCTGGCACTATTTTTTATTTTTTAGCTCTTCATAGCGCTGAACAGATTTATTCACTGAGGAAATATTTACTGATCACCAACTATGTGCCAAATACAGTAAAGTGGGAAACCAAATGGACAAAGTCCCTGGCCTTCTGCAGTTAACATTCTACTTGGAGAGATGGACAATAAAAAACAAACACATAATATAATGCCAGGTAGTAGTAAGCATTATGAAGAAAAATAGAGCAGGGAAAGGGGCTAGAAAGTGATGGAAGAGTTTAATTTGAGATAGGGTGATTACAGACAGGATGGTCTGAGGGAAATATCCAGCAGACCTAATGACAGTTTGCTAACTGGTTCCACGTGTACACATTATTCATCTGCACCCCAAGAGCATTTCACATGCAAGCTCCCTAGCTTGCTAGAGGGCTTGACTCAGGATGAAGAGAGCACTGCTATTCAAAGTGAATGTTCATGATTAGTTCATATGATTTCAGTTCCACCAATTCATAATGACACAACATCACAAGTGAAGTCAACATGATGGACCCACATGCCTCAAGGATGCATTCCTGACAGGGAGTTGATGCAGTGGCAATTGCAGGGGTCCACATCTGCATTAGACTACCAATCCCACCCCCTCTCCACCCACCTCAGTGAGTTCCCTCCTTGTCAGAGGCTCTGATGACTCTGCCCCATGGGATACATTAGAAAGCTGAGTGGGAAAGGAGACTGGATTTTTGAAGGAGGATCTTCTACTCACTACTGAGAAGCGTTGCAGAGCCAGGAGAAATGGAGCTGACCCTGTTGCTGTAAGTTTCTGACAATTTCTCCAATACTTTCTTTGGACCCGCTTCTAGCAACAGGATTTTCTTGTCATGAAAGTGAATATCATACCCTAAAAAAATAAAAAAATAAAAAATTTATATCATTTCAGGAAAATCAAGTATTTCTTTTCCCATTACCAAGAGAAACAACAGAGTAACTACTTAACCCTTAGAGTATGAATTTCTTACAGAGAACATAAAGTAAACACTATACCCATGCAGAGTCCTAAGCAATAACATACACCACCATTTTAGCCATGAGAACCACCCGGCCCACAACTGTAAGGCTTCTCCAAAGACCACTACATGCCACGTGCCAAGAAGCAAGTAATGGCAAACACCTAACTAGCAAACGAAACGCCCTAGAAAGGAAAAATGAAGTGAAAAAGTTATAGTATTTAAACACCAGTTCTTTCCAATCTCGAGTATTAAAGTCACTAAAAATTACAACTCCTGTTCAAAAGAAAAAGTGGAATAAATAAGCAAAATTCAATGCAGTCTCAAGATTAAACCAAGAATAAAGAATTACGAGTTTATAAAGGCTGGTGAGGTGGCTCACACCTGTAATCCCAGCACTTTGCAGGCCAAGGTGGGCAGATCACCTGAAGTCAGGAGTTCGAGACCAGCCTGGCCAACATGGTGAAACCCCGTCTCTACTAAAAATACAAAAAAATTAGCCAGGCGTGATGGCGGGCACCTGTAATCCCAGCTACTCCGGAGGCTGAGGCAGGAGAATCACTTGATCCTGGGAGGCAGAGGTTGCAGTGAGCCAAGATTGTACCATTGCATTCCAGCCTGGGCAACAAGAGCAAAACTCCATCTCAAAAAAAAGAATTAGAGTTTATAAAAGAAAAGGTGGGCCAGGCATGGTGGCTCATACCTGTAATCTTAGCATTTTGGGAGGCCAAGGTGGGAGGATCGCTCAAGCCCAGGAGTTCAAGACCAGCCTGGGCAACATAGCAAGACCCTGTCTCTACAAAAATATATTTTTTTAAAAACTAGCTAGGCATGGTGGCACACCTGAGCCATGTTTGTGCAACTGCACTCCTACTTGGGGGACAGAGTAAAACCCTGTCTCAAAAACTAAAAAAAAAAAAAAAAAAAAAAACAAAAAGGTCAGGCACAGTGGGTCACGTGTAATCCCAGCACTTTGGGAGACCGAGGCGGATGGATCACTTGAGCTCAGGAGTTTGAGACCAGCATGGGCAACATGGTGAAACCTCATCTCTACTAAAAACACAAAAATTAGCCAGGTGTGATGGCGGGCGCCTGTGGTCCCAGCTCCTCAGAAGGCCGAGGCAGGAGAATCACTGGAACCCGGGAGGCAGAGGTTGCAGTGAGCTGGGATCCTGCCACTGCACTCCAGCCTGGGTGACAGAGCGGAGACTCTGTCTCAAAAAAAAAAAAAGTTAGCTCCAGCCATACAGACAGTGAGTGGCCCCTCTTGCTGCAGTACCACAGCAGCTTTTGCTGTGGAGGATGGGGCACCGGGACACACTCTGTAGAGGGCACTAGCTTCTTCTCTTTTTTTGAGACAGAGTCTCCACTCTGTCACCCAGGCTGGAGTGCAGTGGCACAATCTCGGCTCACTGCAACCTCCCCCTTCCAGTTCCAAGCAATTCTCCTGCCTCAGCCTCCCAAGTAGCCATGAGAACCACCCTGTTACAGAAGGTCTATGATCTGCTTTAAGTTAAATTTTGTGTATCTTGTGAGATGAGGATCATAGGGTGGAAGAGCTGCCCTCAGACCAGGGTGTCCAATCTTTTGGCTTCCCCAGGCCACAATGGAAGAATTGTCTTGGGTCACATATAAAAAACACTAATACTAATGATAGCTTAAGAGCTTAAAAAAAAAAAATCACAAAAAATATCTCATAATGGGCCGGGCATGGTGATTCATGCCTGTAATCCCAGCACTTTGGGAGGCAGGGGCAGGTGGATCACGAGGTCAGGAGTTCGAGACCAGCCTGGCCAATATAGTGAAACCCCGTCTCTACTAAAAATACAAAAATTAGCCAGGTGTGGTGGCGCGTGCCTGTAATCCTAGAGGTTGCAGTGAGCCAAATCCGTGCCATTGTACTCCATCCTGGGCAACAAGAGCGAAACTCCGTCTGGGGGGTGGGGCAGGGGGAAGTGAAAAGACTACAAAATGGAAGAAAATATTTGCAAGTCATTTATCAAATAAAGGACTTGTATACAGAATAAACAAAATAATGGCCAGGCAGGGTTGTTTATGCCTGTAATCCCAGCACTTTGGGAGGCTGAGGCGGGTGGATTGCTTGAGCCCAGGAGTTCCAGACCAGCCTGGGCAACATAGTGAGGCCTCGTCTCTAAAAAAAATACAAAAATCAGCCGAGTGGTGGCGCATGCCTGCAGTCCCAGCTATTTGGGAGGCAGAGGCAGGAGAATCAATTGAGCCAGGGAGGTTGAGGCTACAGTGAGCTGTGATCGTGCCACTGCACTGCAGCCTGGGCACAGAGGAAGACCCTGTCTCGAAAAATAAATAAAAATGACTCTTCCACTCAGTATTCAAAAGACAAACTGCTCAATTAAAAACCGGGCAAAGGGTCTGAATAGGCATTTTTCCAAAGAAGACACAAATGACCAAAAAACATGTGAAAGGATATTCAACATCATTAATCATTAGGGAAATACAAATCAAAACCTGAAGATCCCACTTTACTTACACCCACTACAATGTCTATAAACAAAAAGACAATGACAAGTACTGTCCAGGATCTGGAGAAACTGGAACTCTCATATATAAATAACCCTGGGAAGGCCTGCTTTCCCAAGAGTAGAACAGACTCAGAACGCCCCTCCCACTTTTGACCCTACTGGGCCCTGAAGGACCACACGCATTCCAGCCTGCCCTGGGGTTCCTCTAGGAGGGCAGGGGAGAAACTGTCTTTGGACAAGTCGTGCTAGGGCTCTCACGGCTCTCATCGTGCCTCCGCGGCCCAGTGTCCCGCCACTAGTAGCCTGGAGAGGAGCTTACCCAAGGCACAGGCCATTGCAGCGCCCACCAGGCCTCCACCCGACACCACCACGTCATACACGGTGTCTGTTGAGGCGCCGGACCACCTGCGGCAGGACACCAGCGGGCTGCTGTAGGCAGCTGCACCCACAGCCCCGCATCGGCTCACGAGCCGGGCGGCCATGGTGCAGACCTGCGCCGTCGCACTCAGGCCTCCGGCAGGCCCAACTAGGTAGTGCTTCCGGAGCAGAGCACTCCAATCCCGTCCCGCTTCAGCGGCGCCCTCAGAACCGGAAATAAAATGCGCGAAGAGAATAGGCCAATCGGAAAACGAACTTTGCCTCCTCGGGCGGGATGGATCGGAGGTTGCCCTGGAAGCCAATCAGACGCCAAAGCTAGAAAGGGGTGGACCCTGGCTCCGCACAGCTAGCGCTGTCGCCGCTGCTGCACCTATCGCTGTCACAGCCGCTGCTGCCTCTGTCCAGCCGAAATGATCGTGGAGAGGCCTGAGGGAGCCCCCGGAGGCGCGGAGGGGAGCCGTCAGGTGAGGAGAGAAAGAGAAGGGAGGAAGCGGGACTGCCCCCGGGAAAGGAATCCCAGAGAGGAAACTGTTTGGCGTTGCCTTGGAAACAGACAGCAGGGGCGTGTCACGGAGGGGCGTGGGGTTAAAATGAGCGTTTAGGGACCAGGAGGCGGATTCTGATTTGCAGACCTGAACCTCTCGGACTTTATACGAGGCTCCTTATAGGCAATGTCACATAAGTTTTCGCTTATCCTGTTAGTACTCTATGACCAATTGTCGTCCGTTTTTTGTAGAAGAGAAAACTAAGGCACAAAAAGATTAAGAAAATTGCCCCCCACATTTTTTTTTTGTTTGAGACGGAGTCTCGCTCTGTCGCCCAGGCTGGAGTGCAGTGGCGCGATCTCGGCTCACTGCAAGCTCCGCCTCCTGGGTTTACGCCATTCTCCTGCCTCAGCCTCCTGAGTAGCTGGGACTACAGGCGCCCGCCACCGCGCCCGGCTAATTTTTTTTTTGTATTTTTAGTAGAGACGGGGTTTCACCGTGGTCTCGATCTCCTGACCTTGTGATCCGCCCGTCTCGGCCTCCCAAAGTGCTGGGATTACAGGCGTGAGCCACCGCGCCCGGCCTGCCCCCCACATTTGACCGAGGTGGTGGCTCACGTCTGTAATCCCAACACATTGGGAGGCAGAGGCGGGTGGATCACCTGAGGTCAGGAGTTCGAGACCAGCCTGGCCAACATGGTGAAACCCCGTCTCTACTAAAAATTAAAAAAAAAAAAAAAAAAAAAAAAAAGGCCAGGCGCGGTGGCTCACGCCTGTAATCCTAACACTTTGGTAGGCCGAGGCAAGCGGATCACAAGGTCAAGAAATCGAGACCAGGCTGGTTTCCATGGCAAAACCCCCGTCTCTACTGAAAATACAAAAATTAGCTGGGCATGGTGGCGCACGCCTGTAGGCCCAGTTACTGGGAAGGTTGAGGCAGGAGAATCGCTTGAACCCGGGAGGCGGAGCTTACAGTGAGCTGAGATCGCACCACTGCACCCCAGCCTGGCGACAGAGCGAGACTCTGTCTCAAGAAAAGAAAAAAAAAAAACAACCAGGTGTGGTGGCGCCTGCCTCCAGTGATCCACCAGCCAAGGCCTTCCAAAGTGCTAGGATTACCGTGAGCCAGTGTGCCTGGCGGACCCTAAACTCTTAAAGACAGAAAGTAGACTTGCGGTTGCTTAGGGCTGGTGGGGTGGGGTGTGGATGGTTAGGGGAAATAGGGAGTGACTACTAAAGAGTATGGCGTTTATTTTAGGGGCGATGAAGGTGTTCTAAAATTGTGATGGTAGTTGCACAATTCTGTGTATATACCAAAACCACTGAATTGTACACTTTAAATGAGCGAATATATTGTATAGAAATTATATCTTAATAACGTTGTCTTTAAAAAAGAAAAGAAAAAATGTGCCCAAGATCGCACACTCTTTGTAGCAGAGCCAGGGCTAGGGTGCATACATACCTCTGACTCTTACCCTGGATTTTAGTAAGGCTGGCTCTTTATCAATCAATTGTCAATTCAAAGTTCCTCCACAATGAAAAATAAAAATCAGCCCAGGACTGAGGAAGTATAACTCAGACTGTCATAGGCATAGATAATGCCAACAGCAAGAGCATCAGGAAACAGTGTTTCAGGTCCATACTATAGGTGCAAAATTACTAACACTCCTTCTTCCAAATTATACTGCTTACTGATCAATTAGTTACCCACCCTACTTTATTCTTCTCACCTTTTGAATAAGAATTGCCTTTGGGCGGGGCCCAGTGGCTCACACCTGTAATCCCAGCACTTTGGGAGGCCAAGGCAGGCGAATCATTTGAGCTCAGGAGTTGGAGACCACCCTGGGCAACATGGTGAAACCCCGTCTCTACAAAAAATTAAAAAATTAGCCAGATGTGGTGGCGCGTGCTGTAGTCCCAGCTACTCGGGAGGCTGAGGTGGGAGGATCATCACGTGAGCTCAGGAGGTTCAGGCTGCAGTGAGGCATGATTGCACCACTGCACTCCAGAACCTGGGTGACAGAGCAAAATCCTGCCTAAAAAAAAAAAAAAAAAAAAAAAGCTCAATCATTCACTTATTAAATTGTCCCCACTTCATGACAACACCATTCCAGAATCAATCAGGGAAGCTGGCCAACGGTATAAAAATCACACCCCCGACCCTAAGTTCCCTATGTTTTCCGTAGTGTCCTGCAGCAAGTTAATAAACCTAACTGAAGTACCGATTACAAGTACATTCTTAATAACCTTCATCTGATAGACTTTTATCAACCAAAAAGCTTTCCATAGGCACTTTTTTTTTTTTTTGAGACGGAGTCTCGCTGTCTCCCAGGTTGGAGTACAGTGGCGCGATTTCGGCTCACTGCAAGCTCCGCCTCCCAGGTTCACGCCATTCTCCTGCCTCAGCCTCCGGAGTAGCTGGGACTACAGGCGCCTGCCACCGCACCCGGCTAATTTTTTGTATTTTTAGTAGAGACAGGGTTTCACCACATTAGCCAGGATGGTCTGGATCTCCTGACCTCTTGATCCGCCTGCCTTGGCCTCCCAAAGTGCTGGGATTACAGGCATGAGCCACGGCGCCCAGCTGGCACTCCATCTTTTTATAACCTCACAGTCGTTTATGGTTTTCACGGAATTTATTATCATCTTATGTTGTCTGTCTTCTCTTACTACAGTGTAGGCTTCAAGGGAGTAAGGATCTTGTTTGTCTTGTTCTCAGCCAAATGCCCAGTGCACATCAGGCACCCAGTAAATATGGTATGAATGAATGGAGTACTGAAAAAGTTAATTGTGTGTCCCGCTTCTTAGGACGTTGCTCTTCCAGCCAGACCATACTGTCTCTCTTGTTAATCATCCATTCCTTTTTTTTTTTTTTTTTTGAGATGGAGCTTCGCTCTTGTTACCCAGGCTGGAGTGCAGTGGTGTGATCTCATCTTACTGCCACCTCAGCCTCCCAGGTTCAAGCGATTCTCCTGCCTCAGCCTCCCCAGTAGCTGAGGTTACAGGCACCCACCACCACACCCAGCTAATTTTTGTATTTTTGTAGAAATGGGGTTTCACCATGTTGGTCTTGAACTCCTGACCTCAGGTGATCCACCTCCCTCAGCCTCCCAAAACACCGGGATTACAGGCGTGAGCCACTGCTTCCGGCCATCATCCATTCCTTGACAGAGTGCAAATTAGCTAGAATATGAGGAAAGCAGAGGAGTAGAGACAAGGGAAGTGGGAGAAGGAAGATGAGCAAGAAGTAGGTACAACCCAAGTAAGGCAGAGTGCGGCCATCATCATGGGCAGGATTCCTGGAGTGCAGGGGTCAGAATGCATGGTACAGGTGAGGTGCTCTGTAAAAGCTTACTGCACTGTATGGCGTAGGGAACCAACTTCAGCTCTTCACTTCCCTCTCCATCCCTTCAGTGAAGCGCACTTCATAGACCAAGTTGTGAAATGTCTTTAGAGCAAGAAACACATCTTATTTTTAAAAATTCCTCCCCAAGTATTGGGATTACAGGGATGAGCCAGCGCACCTGGCAGACCCCAAATTCTCCCCAGTCCCTAATATACAGAGGCTTGTTCAAAGTGAAATTAAGTTACGATTTGAATACCTTTGAAAGCATTGTTTCACTCACAGCCTATTTCTATTCTATTGTAGATATTTTCCCCCGAATCCTCCCCAGACACAGAGGCAGGAGAGGAGCTGTCTGGGGACGGGCTGGTTTTGCCCAGGGCCAGCAAACTTGACGAGTTCCTCAGCCCAGAGGAGGAGATAGATTCTACTTCTGACTCCACTGGGAGCTTTTACCAGACCTTGCAGGTACTGAAGCAGAAAGGCAGAGCGTGTCTGTTGGAGTCTGTCTTTCAGTCTGACCCGGAGAGTGATGAAAGCCTCTCTGAAGATGAGGAGGGCCTGGAGAGCTTCTTCCGAGACAAGGGCAGGGGCAAGGTACAGGTCCAGCGCCCCCAGGCTCTGAGGTAAGGCACTGCAGCTCCACGGCTGCCTCACTCCACACCTCCACACAGGTCACATCGCGTCTCTGGGCTTCATCTTCCTCTGTAAAGCAAAGAGCACTTCTGCAAGTTGCCATTTACTGAGGCTGTAGCTCAGAATCAGCTTTTGATTCCAAACAGGTGTTCCGATTCCTCCCCAGGAATCCTAAATCACTTTGGGCAACACTTAGTCCAGTGATACCCTGGAATTAATTAAAGGGAAGCCTTTCCTCAGGCGCAGTGGCTCACACCTGCACTCCCAGCGTTTTGGGAGGCTGAGGCAGGCAGATCACTTGAGGTCAGGAATTCGAGGCCAGCCTGGTCAACATGGTGAAACCCCGTCTCTACTAAAAATACAAAAATTAGCCACTCATCGTGGTGTGTGCCTGTAATCCCAGCTACTCAGGAGACTGATGCACGAGAATCCCTTGAGCCCAGGAGATGGAGGTTGCAGTGAGCTGAGATCATGCCACTGCACTCCAGCCTGGGCGACAGAGCAAGACTCTGACTCAACAAATAAAAATAAAATAAAAAATGGGCCGGGCATCATGGTTTACGCCTGTAATTCCAGCACTTTGGGAAGCTGAGGTGGGTGGATCATGAGTTCAGGAGTTCAAGACCAGCCTGGCCAAAATGGTGAAACCCCGTCTCTACTAAAAATATAAAAAAATTAGCCGGGCGTGGTGGCGGGTGCACGTAATTGCAGCTGCTCAGGAGGCAGAGGCAGAGAATTGCTTGAACCTGGGAAGTGGAGGTTGCAGTGAGCCAAGATCACGCCCAGCTTGGGCAACAGTGCAAGACTCCATCTCAAAATAAATAAATAAATAAATAAATATTGAAAAATAAAAAAAAATACAGGGAAGCCTTTCCTAAATACACTTTCCCTGAGAATGACAACAAAGTACCTTTATCTTGGTCAAGTCTTAGAAAGTAAATATTTAATGAGATAAAGTATACATTATCTCATTACCTTATCTCATTTAATATTTACTTTCTCCTCCAATAACCTGGTTAGTAGACATTAATTTTTGTCATTCTATGTAGGAGGAAATTGAAGTTTTAACAGAACCTTGCTCAAAGTTTGGAGCAAGATTTATACCCAAGTCTGTCTGACTCTCAAGCTCTACTCTGCTCATTGTTCTCTCTCTCATATGAAATATTAGAGTGCAAAGTGGCAGTTTTGGGATCAATTCTGAGAAGAGACTTTCCTTTAGGGCTGCCAGGATTGTCTGTGGGAAGGTCATGGACATAGAGGCCTGTGGGGCTGTGGTGTTAGGTCAAGCAGCCAGCTGTGACCAGTGGGAAGGGAGGACTGGGGAGGAGGTCTGGAGGGAGCAGGGCCTCCTGACTGCCCTGTCCTCCACACGTGGATCTGCTTTCTTCCAGGTGTGGCTCCACAAGGCGCTGCAGCTCCCTGAGCAACCTTCCCTCCAACATTCCCAGGGCTCCGACCCAGCCACCCTCAGGCTCCCGGCCTTCCTCCCAGCACAGAAGTGTCAGCTCCTGGGCATCATCCATTACTATCCCTCGGCCATTCCGCATGACACTGCGCGAGGCCCAGAAGAAGGCCGAGTGGCTGGGCTCACCTGCCTCCTTTGAGCAGGAGAGGCAGCGGGCCCGGAGGCAGGGTGAGGAAGAGGCTGAGTGCCACAGGCAGTTCCGGGCACAGCCTGTGCCTGCACATGTCTACCTGCCCCTCTACCAAGAGATCATGGAGCGCAGCGAGGCCCGAAGGCGGGCAGGGATTCAGAAGAGGAAGGAACTGCTCCTCTCTTCTTTGAAGCCCTTCAGCTTCCTGGAGAAGGAGGAGCAACTAAAGGAAGCTGCTCGACAGAGAGACTTGGCTGCCACAGCTGAAGCCAAGATCTCCAAGCAGAAGGCCACCAGAAGGATCCCCAAGTCCATTCTGGAGCCAGCCCTTGGGGATAAACTCCAGGGTAAAGACATCCTTGCCACCTTGCTACCTCCTGCCTTGGGGTACCAATTCCACCGTAGGGATTTAGTCAGGGCCCAGGGGTTGGCCTGGCTTGGAGATTTGCTGCTTGGGTGGACCCACTAGAGGCTGCACGTTTAGTGCAGGCCATCGGGGAGGGTTAGGTCTGTCTACACAATCGGGGCCTGTATGGAGTAAGGACTGAAAGGTCCCACAGTGTCCCCAAGGCTCGTCCTGTTGACAGCTGAGTGAATGCACACGAGGGCCTCTGCACCAGCAGAGGTGCAGGAATAGAGAACCAGTGAGACACCTGAGGACCAGCTTGGGCTCATGCCACCACCAGCATACTGCCCTGAGATGCTCCCCCACGGCCCCTTCGTCCTGGTGAGGTGGCGTCAGTCACTGAAATTACCTGGGGGATGATTATTTACATATTTCAAAAAGTATAGCTCCAAATAAGGGGCTCAGGCTTTATTCACTTTTCAGTGGCATGTGCCGTGCTCCAGGCACTGTGCCATGGTGAACACACAGACATGGAGTTTGTAGACATGTGAGGACAACAGATAAACACAAATGCATACAAACGTGGTGAGTTATTTACAAGGATTAAAGGGGGAAGCATGGAAACATATATCAGAGGGACCTAACCCGGGGATTGGTGAAGGAAGGGAGCAGTTAGGGAAGGTCCCCTAAGAAAGTGGGCCCTGGGGCTGAACTAAAGGAGGGGCAAAGAGGGAGGAGAAGTGGAACAGGCAGAATGTGGCATGGAGGGGAGAGAAAGTGGAGCATCTGCAAGGGCTGGAAAGGTAGAGGGCTGAGAGAAGAGGGAGTGGGAAGGGAGAGGCAGACATGGGCTAGACATGAGGAGCTTTGCAAGCCATGCTAGCGAGTCTGGACTTCATCCCAAGGGCACAGGGGAGCCACTGAGGGACTGAGGCAGGGTGACCCACGATCAGAAATCTAGTTCAGAAGGATCCTTCTGATTGCTGTGTAGATGATCCAAGAGGGCAGCAAGACTGGAGGGCTACTGAGCCAAGAGGAAGCTATTTCACCATTCAATTGAGAAATTATGCAGCTGGTTGCAGGGATGAAGAAAAGAGGATGGACTGGAGAGAGGTTAAAGAGGAGGAAGTGACAACTTGTGACTGATGAGAGACACGGAGGAGTCAGTGATGTGGGCAGAGGGCCTGGGCAGCTGGGTGGATGGTGGGGCCTTTCTCTGAGATGGGGAAACATGGGAGAGGAGCAGGCAGCTGGCCCACTTCCTCTGCTTCATCTGTAAAGAAGCAGTCGTAGAAAGTGCTCAGTGAGTGTAGCTGGTCGCTGCTTCTGCAGCCTGACTGGCACAGGCAGTGGTGTTCTGGATGACATTTATTAACAAGCTCTCCAGAAAAAAGCAAGCAAGCTGGTTTGTAATGTTTGTTATTTTCTGTGGCATAAATACGCCTATTAAGGCCATCTGCAAGCATGGCACAGGATGTTAACGTGTCAGAATTCCCGAAAAGTTCATAGTTGCCTCCAGTACACTTACGGCTAGTGTGTAAAAGAGGGAAAGTTCTCCAACCCTGTAGGTTTCATGCCTGGTCCTTTCTTACCCATCACCATCCTGTCTCCACAGAAGCTGAGCTCTTCAGGAAAATTCGCATCCAGATGAGAGCCCTGGACATGCTCCAGATGGCCTCTTCCCCTATCGCCTCCTCTGGTAACCGGGCTAACCCCCAGCCCCGCACAGCCACCCGAACCCAGCAGGAAAAGCTTGGGTTTCTGCACACTAACTTTGGATTCCAGCCTCGGGTGAATCCCATAGTCCCTGACTATGAGGGCCTTTACAAGGCCTTCCAGAGAAAAGCAGCCAAAAGAAGAGAAACCCAAGAGGCCACTCGCAACAAGCCCTTCTTGCTGAGGACCTCCAACCTGCACCACCCTCAGCGGCCTTGCGATGCTGCCACCACCGGAGGGAGGCCGGTGAGAGCCCAGGCAGCTGTGGGAGGGTCAGGGCTAAGGCCTGAAATACAGGGTGGGGCCAGGTCTTTCTGGAAAGCACTTCTCAACAAGGATTTCCTATCTTTTTTAAACACCAGCTCAGTTATAAACAGATTCACTTTCCTATAAACTCCAGACCACAGCCCAGCCTGGGCAACATAGAGACCCCATCTCTTCAAAACAAAACAAAACAAACATTTGCCACACGTGGTGGCATGTACCTGTAGTTCAAGCTATTCAGGAGGCTGAGGTGGGAGGACCACTTGAGCCTAGGAATTTCTGGCTGCAGTGAGCCAAGATGACGCCACTGTACTCCAGCCTAGGCAACAGAGTGAGACCCCATCTCAAAACAACAACAAAAAACAGGCCGGGCATGGTGGCTCACGCCTCTAATCCCAGCACTGAGAGGCTGAGGAGGGCAGATCATCTGCGGTCAGGAGTTTGAGACCAGCCTGGCCAACATGGCAAAACCCCATCTCTAATTTTGATAAAAATACAAAAATTGGCCGGGCGCGGTGGCTCAAGCCTGTAATCCCAGCACTTTCGGAGGCCGAGAGGGGCGGATCACGAGGTCAGGAGATCGAGACCATCCTGTCTAACCCAGTGAAACCCCGTCTCTACTAAAAAAAAAATACAAAAAAACTAGCCGGGCAAGATGGCGGGCGCCTATAGTCCCAGCTACTCGGGAGGCTGAGGCAGGAGAATGGCGTGAACCCAGGAGGCGGAGCTTGCGGTGAGCTGAGATGTGGCCACTGCACTCCAGCCTGGGCGACAGAGCGAGACTCCGTCTCAAAAACAAAAACAAAAAATACAAAAATTAGCTGGGTGTGGTGGCGGGCGCCTGTAATCCAAGCTACTCCAGAGGCTGAGGCAGGAGAATTGCTTGAACCTGGGAGGCGGAGGTTGCAGTGAGCTGAGATTGCACCACCGCACTCCATCCTGGGCAACAAGAGTGAAAGTTCATCTCAAAAACAGAACAAAACAAAAACAAACCATAGGGACACTCCTCTTCCTCCCTTGCTCTAGAAGGATTTCACAGAAATAAGTCCAAGCAGGCCTGAGAGGCAAGGAGTTGGGATCAGTTGTTGATGTTCCTATACCAATTCCAAGGAACTCTTCTCATTTGACTAAAAACTTTAGGATTGATATCCAAGTCTTGGCTTGGTTATGAAACTTGAGATCTCATTATCCTTGCCTTATTCCCAGGAAAAAAAAAAAGATTCTCATTTTCAGTCCTTCAGTTAAATTGAATCCTAGTAAAGATAGAAAACGGCTGGGCGTGGTGGTTCACACCTGTAATCCCAGCACTTTGGGAGGCCAAGGCGGGTGGATCACCTGAGGTCAGGAATTCGAGACCAGCCTGACCAACATGGTGAAACCCTGTCTCTGCTAAAACTGCAAAAATTTAGCTGGGCGTGGTGGCTCACAACCTGCATAGTCCCAGCTACGTGGGAGGCTGAAGCAAGAGAACTGCTTGAACCAGGCAGGCGGAGGTTGCAGTGAGCCTTGATTGGCCACTGCACTCTAGCCTGGGCAAAAGAGCGAGACGAGACTCTGTCTCAAAAAAAAAAAAAGAAACTAATCACACATGCTGTCCCACCAATACCAGCCTTTGTTTCTTCTAGGATTCCCCACAGCCACCAGCTCCACCCCTGCCAAGGAGTCGTTCTCTGAGTGGCCTTGCTTCCCTCTCTGCCAACACTCTCCCTGTGCACATCACAGATGCCACCAGGAAGAGGGAATCTGCAGTCAGGTGAGTGGTCAGGCTGCACAAGACCCATGCTCTGATTCTGGCCCCAAATGCTGGAAACTTCCCTACTAAGGGGCCTCCTTTCCTGTTATCAGAGACACCTCAAGGGGTCAAAGGGAATTTTCTGATCAGGACAGGAACAATTGCGGTTCTCCACACCTGGTGCTTGGAGAACAGCTAGCCATCATTCAGCACATATTCACAGTGGGCTTATTCTGTGCCAGGCACAGTGTTAAGGCTGGAGATCTTAGAGAACCTACAGTTTATTATCTAGTCTGAAATAGAGAAAAGCAAAGAAGCAATGGCCGTATTTTTTGAGTAGTGCAATGATTGGGGGTAGAGGGGACTGTGAGGGCACTGGGCAGCCTGGAGCAGGGGGTCTTGTCTTGTGGAATAGATGTCTAAAGTGAAACCTGAAACCTGAAGAACAAGGAAGAGTTGGCCAGACAAAGCCTGGAGAGAAGGAAGGTTCCAGACAGAACATGGATAAAAGCCCATGGATGAGAGGAAGGGAGTAACGAGGAACAAGAATTCAGAGAAGCATGCTAGCAGGTGGCTGAAGTTGCCACCAAGATGAGACATCCATTGCATAGATTTGAGATTCTCTGAGATTCATCTTGGGAAGATGTCAGAGTCCGTTGGGCAGCAAGAGCCTGCTTATTTTTAACTCTTCAACTCACCTGACTCTGTTATGATGATGTTCTCGTTGAGCCAGCCCCCAGCAAGGGTTCCTCCACCAGGCTTCGGAGCTGAAGTAGGCAAGAGAGGCCATGGTGTAATGAGCAGCTTAGGCCAGGGAGAGGACTAATGTCTTCCTGCCTTCCCATGGGGCATGTAGGGGAGTACTCAGAACCTACTTGGATCCTTAAGCCCCACAGCAGGGATTGTAGAAAAGTACTTACAGTCCAAGGGATACTCCTTTCTTCTTCAGACTTCAGTTAGACCTACTACATCAGGGCTAATTGCTCAGTATCCTGAGGGCCCAAGAACCCAGGCCTCCTGAACAAAGAGGCTGGCCCACCTATAGAGGACATCCACATCTGCTTTCCCGCCACAGGGAATCTGACATATGAGCAGATTAAATTTGCATGTCCTTCCCAGTCTGTCCATTTGAATGTAAACATCCATATAGAAGAGTCTTGATTGATTTTCCTTTTGGAAGAATTCAGCATATTACCTTTTAGATAACTGAACAAACTAAGTGCTACAAGTTGAAGCCAAATAGTTTGCACTGAAGGAGGCTCATTTCCAGTTCTCTCTGAATATGCAGATTTGTATTCCCAAAGAACCATGAACCCAGATACCTTCCAGCCCACTGTTTACAGCAGAGTGGTCAAGGCCAGAGGCTTGGGAGCCAAAGATCCTGGTCCAATAGGGGCTTTTCCACTGGCATGCTGGGTAGCTTTGAGCAAGTGGCTTACCTCCTTTGAGCCTCAATCACCTCCCCTATAAAAAGGGGATTTAGTATTTACCTCATAAGGCAGTTATGAGGACTACGTGAAATGTAATGGTACTTGATTCCTAATAGGGAACTCAGTAAGTGGCAGCTATTAGTATTATTTTGGATCAATAGGTGAAGACCTATTGAGTGTTGGGCTATTTAAGTAAGGATATATATATTTTTTTTCGAGATGAAGTCTTGCTCTGTTGCCCAGGCTGGAGTGCAGTGGTGCAATCTCAGCTCACTGCAACCTCTGCCTCCCAGGTTCAGTGATTCTCCTGCCTCAGCCTCCCACGTAGCTGGGATTACAGGCATGTGCCACTACGCCCAGCTAATTTTTTCTGTAGTTGTAGTAGAGATGGGGTTTCACCTTGTTGGCTAGGCTGGTCTTGAACTCCTGACCTCGTGATCAGCCCACTTCAGCCTCCCGAAGTGCTGAGATTACAGGCGTGAGCCACCGCACCCGGCCTAAGTAAGGATATTTTAACTGATATTTCTCCAGTTCAGTAAATACACTTCTAGGGTAGGAAGTCACTGTGTCCCTAGTGCTGGAAAGGCTTCATCTGCCAGTGCATTTAATCCTAGAATTTTATTATTTTTTAAAATGCCAGTTGAGGTAAATTACATGCCGCATTCATTGAAAACACCAACTTACTTTCCAGAAAATGTTACTAAGATTGCTTTTATTTTATTTATTTATTATTTATTTTTTGAGACGGAGTCTCTCGCTGTTGCCCAGGCTGGAGTGCGGTGGTGCGATCTCGGTTCACTGCAACCTCCACCTCCTGGGTTCACGCCATTCTCCAGCCTCAGCCTCCCAAGTAGCTGGGACTACAGGCACACGCCACCACACCCAGCTAATATTTTGTATTTTTAGTAGAGACGGGGCTTCACAGTATTAGCCAGATGGTCTCGATCTCCTGACCTCGTGATCTGCCCGCCTCGGCCTCCCAAAGTGCTGGGATTACAGGCGTGAGCCACCGCACCCGGCTAATTTTTTTTTTTTTTTTTTTTTTGAGATGGAATCTTGCTCTGTCGCCCAGGCTGGAGTGCAGTGGTGCGATCTTGGCTCATTGCAACCTCTGCCTCCTGAGTTCAAGCAATTCTGCTGCCTCAGCCTCCCAAGTAGTTGGGATTACAGGTGCACACCACCACACCCAGCTAATTTTTGTATTTTCAGTAGAGTTGAGGTTTCACCATGTTGGCCAGGCTGGTCTTGGACTCCTGACCTCAGGTGATCCAGCTGCCTTGGCCTCCCAAAGTGCTGGAACTACAAGCATGAGCCACCACACCTGGCCTGAGATTGCTTTTCAGTATGCCCAGGTTGGTAATCTATACTCTCTTTCTGCCTCCTCCCTTTAGAAGTGCACTTGAAAAAAAGAACAAAGCAGATGAGAGTATTCAGTGGCTGGAGATCCACAAAAAGAAGTCTCAAGCAATGTCCAAATCTGTGACCTTGCGTGCAAAAGCCATGGATCCCCATAAAAGCCTGGAGGAAGTGTTCAAAGCAAAGCTGAAAGAAAACCGGTCAGTATCCCCTATGTGTCAAAAGGGGTGCTTGCCTTGGGATCCAGCAGACCACTGGCCTGTTGCCAGAAAATGCAAAATGGAGTTACTGGGGTAGGCAGGCTCCTGTAATCACAGCGGCGGGGCCATGATTTTCCAAGTCACATAGGAATTTACAATGTACATGGGAATTACACTGCTTAACTGGAAATGAATGGTATTCTGGATTGGAAACGATGTAGTTTTTTTTTTTTTTTTTTTTTTTTGAGACAGATCTGGCTGTGTTGCCCAGGCTGGAGTGCGGTGGCGCGATCTCCACTCACTGCAAGCTCCGCCCCCCGGGTTCACGCCATTCTCCTGCCTCAGCCTCCCGTGTAGCTGGGACTACAGGCGCCCGCCACCGCGCCCGGCTAGTTTTTTTTTTTTTGTATTTTTAGTAGAGATGGGGTTTCACCATGTTAGCCAGGATGGTCTGGATCTCCTGACCTCGTGATCCGCCCGTCTCGGCCTCCCAAAGTGCTGGGATTACAGGCGTGAACCACCGCGCCTGGCCTAGAAACGACGTAATTCTAAAAATCTTGCTAATTCCAGGAACAATGACCGTAAAAGAGCGAAAGAATATAAGAAAGAACTGGAAGAAATGAAGAAGCGAATACAAACAAGGCCGTATCTCTTTGAACAAGTTGCCAAGGTAAAACTAAACCATCATTTGTTTTCTTTCTGCCTTAGATAAAAAGGCTCTGATAAATTATGAAACAATTTTAATATGTGGGTATTAAACATTTCCTTGAGGCCCAGAAATTCTAATTTCATTACTACCTTATTTTTCCAAAATAAATAGTACAGTAGAGAATGCTGCTTGTGTTGATTTCATCCAAGAGTGGACTCCAAAGGCATTGGTAAAGGGATATTTCACTTCCTAGAACTTTCACTGTAGTCTAGCATTCAGAGTTCATGAGACCTCAGAGACAGGGACCATTTGGCTCTTTCTGCGCTCTGGAGCCACTGTTCACAGTGCTGGAAAGGTCTCTCTCCTCTGCCTGTGCTGCTGGCCCTGGGCCTCCCCAGTCTCTAGAGCTGTGGCACATTTATAAGTCTCCAAGGATTAGGATGCCCACAAGCACCCCACCGCCTTTTTCTAGACTAAGTGGCTTTCAGGCTGGAAGCCTGAAATTTTTTTTTCTTCTTTTATTTTGTTTGCGTGTGTGTGTGTGTTCCTTGTGGAGCAGGGCTAACCCATAGGCAGTGTACCCAAAGTATCCTGGAAGACTATCATTTTAAGATATTCTCTATAGACTTTTAGGGACATTGGACTCAGCTGAGATCTCCATAAGGATGTAAGGATGCTCTGGTTCTGCTGCATGAGGCTCTGTGGATCCTTTTCCTCTCCAGTTTCAGACAAGTTGGGGCTCCCTAGTGACCTAGTTCCAATGGTGGGGCGTTAGCTCCATCTTATAGTTAGTACATTGTCTAGGCATTTGCTGGCTTCACTTCCTCCTCCCTCCGTACATCTTTCTCCTCTCGCACACGCAAGCACACATGGTCTTGGATTTACTTAGCAACCTGCATTGTTCAAAATCTCTCATGCTTCTTTATGTTAATGTTAAGCAAGCTCACTCTTCAGATCTCAACAGATCTTTCACCTCTCTAGGAAAAATACAAAGTACTCTATGATTTTTTCTTGGAATACTTAAACAAAAAATAATAATCTCCTGGTCCACATGCAGACCATCTGTCCTTCCATTAAGAGTCTTGGTGTAGCTTATTTTTTATTTTAGTGGTCCTGATAATGCTTTGTTGCTTTAAAATCTTAGAAGGTTTTTAGTCCATCCTTTTAAATCTGGGTCTCATTTGTCTCCCAAAAGTCTAAGTCATTGCTTTTCAAAATTGTGGCTCCTAAATCAACAGTTTGGCATCTCTGGGGAGTGTCAGAAATACACAATTACGGTCCTCATCTGACACCTACCAAATGTGAAATCTGCATTTTAACAAGACCTCAGGTGATTTATACCCACATTAAAGCTCGAAAACAAGGGTTAAATAATTTTCATGCAAATCCGTGCCCCATAATAAGGGTAGTGGTGGTAGTGGCAGTATTGTAAGAATACTGATTAAGTACTTTAGAATTGTCTGGTAATTCGTAAGATAGCTACAACAGATTAATTTCCATCCCACAGGATCTAGCCAAGAAAGAAGCAGAACAATGGTATCTAGACACCCTGAAGCAGGCTGGGCTGGAGGAAGACTTTGTGAGAAACAAGGGTCAAGGCACTGGGGCTGTTCAAGAGGAGACCAAAGTCAAGGATTTTCCCAGGTAACCTGAGATGTTGCTGTCATTCTGCAGCTTTCTAAATTGTCATACCCAGTAATACCACTGGGAGGAAACTTTAGAATAGCCACTGGTATTTTGAGATCATAATCCTATATTTATATAATACTATCCAGAGATCTCCCTCCAAGTAACACATTTGAATTTAGACAGTGGTGCAGTTGTGAATAAAATCTGACAAATTATGTTTCGTTTTCTTCCATTTTGAAACAGATCATTTTCCAATTCCAGTTCCAATTCCATGAGCCGAAACTATTTCTACTTTATTTTTGAAGAAAAATCATGTATATTTTGACTTCTTATAAAACTATAAAACTGTTTTTCTAGCATTCCTTAAAGGTAGCTCATTAGTATCACCTTCTCCATAACCCATTTTGATAGAGTCAAAGGACGAAAATAGTATCTATCTACACTATTCTCAGTTGTTTTGTATCTTAGATCCTAGCAGCCCCTACCCTAATTCCTATCTGTTTTTATACCCCTAGAAATTTTCCTTTACATCCCATGTAAAATAATAATAATGTTGATACTTTTCTTTTCTTTTCTTTTTTGAGATGGAGTCTTGCTCTGTCGCCAGGTTGGAGTGCAGTGGTGCAATCTTGATTCACTGCAACCTCCGCCTCCCGGGTTCAAGCGATTCTCCTGCTTCAGCCTCCCGACCCGAGTAGGTGGGACTACAGGTGCCCACCACCACGCCCAGCTATTTTTTGTATTTTTAGTAGAGATGGGGTTTCACTTTGTTGGCCAGGATGGTCTTGATCTCTTTTTTTTTTTTTTTTTTTTTGAGGCGGAGTCTTGCTCTGTCGCCCAGGCTGGAGTGCAGTGGCCGGATCTCAGCTCACTGCAAGCTCCGCCTCCCGGGTTCCCGCCATTCTCCTGCCTCAGCCTCCCGTGTAGCTGGGACTACAGGCGCCGCCACCACGCCCGGCTAATTTTTTTTTTGTATTTTTAGTAGAGACGGGGTTTCACTGTGTTAGCCAGGATGGTCTCGATCTCCTGACCTCGTGATCCGCCCGTCTCGGCCTCCCAAAGTGCTGGGATTACAGGCTTGAGCCACCGCGCCCGGCCTGGTCTTGATCTCTTGACCTCGTGATTCGCCTGCCTCGGCCTCCCAAAGTGCTGGGAGAGACCATTCTTAAACCTTACACAGTGCTTTAAGATTTTCTTTTTTCAGACCGGGCACGGTGGCTCATGCCTGTAATCCCAGCACTTTGGGAGGCTGAAGTGGGTGGATTGCTTGAGCCCAGGAGTTTGAGACCAGCCTGGACAACATGGCAACCCCCATCTCTACAAAAAGTAAAAAGAAAAAAAAATTAGCTGGGTGCAGTGGTACGTGCCTATAACCCCAGCTTCTTGGGAAGCGGAGGTGGGAGGGTTGCTTGAGCTGGGCTGTCCACGCTGCAGTGGGCCGAGATCACGCCACTGCACTACAGCCTGGGTGAGAGTGAGACCCTGTCTGAAAAAAAAAAAAATTTTTTTTTTCGTGTTTTATTCTGCAGGTTCCAAAAAACTGCAAAATTCACCATCAGAGATCCAGAGCAGGGTTTAGAAGGATCTCTAGAACAGCCTGCAAGCCCCAGGAAAGTACTGGAGGAGCTGTCTCATCAATCACCAGAAAATCTCCTATCACTTGCTTAATCACTACACTTAAAATCTCTGCTTTTGAAAAATATTAAGCAGCTAACTTGGGTTTGAGTCAAGGCAGGAAAAACTTGGGTTTCGAGTCATGGCTACTGCTAGAAGATGGGGAAATGAAGAGTAGCAGATTAATAGGCTGGGCGCAGTGGCTCACGCCTGTAATCCCAGCACGTTGGGAGGCTGAGGCTGGCGGATCATCTGAGGTCAGGAGACCAGCCCAGCCAACATGGCAAAACTCTGTCTCTACTAAAAATACAGCTGGGCGTGATGACACGTGCTTGTAATCCTAGCTACTTGGGAGGCTGAGGCAAGAGAATCACTTGAACCCAAGAGGCAGAGGTTGTAATGAGCTGAGATCATGCCACTGCACTCCAGCCTGGGCAGCAGAGCAAGACTGTCTCAAAAAAAAAAAGAAAGTAGCAGATAACAGGGAATGGTTGAAGGAAATCAAAGTGGGGAGGCCCAGGTGAAGGGATCGTAGCCTAGAGTTAAGGGTTCCTGCTTTGTGCCTCACACTTAGAGAATAGGTACAGAAAAGAGCACAGGCCCAAATGCCTATAGGGGCTAGTGCAGAAACAAATGCATCAGTGGAGTGGGTGTAGACAGTAGGAGACGGTAGAGACTGCAAGTATCAAATCCTGCTGGAATATAGGCTCAGAGTTAGTACATCAACTATATGTTCATCAAGCCAGAAATTTGTATGCTGCCAACTAATTTAAAAATTACTTAGAAATATTGTATGGGCAAAATAGAATACATCTGTGTGTCAGATTTAGCCCATGGGGGATGAAAAACTTACAACTTCTAGTACAGGATTTCTTATCCTCAGTGCTATTAATATTTTGGGCCACCTAATTCTTTGTTGAGGGTTGGGGAAGGGAACTGTCCTGTACATTGTAGAACCTTTAGGCCGGGCGCGGTGGCTCAAGCCTGTAATCCCAGCACTTTGGGAGGCCGAGACGGGCGGATCACGAGGTCAGGAGGTCGAGACCATCCTGGCTAACACGGCGAAACCCCGTCTCTACTAAAAAATACAAAAAACTAGCCGGGCGTGGTGGCGGGCGCCTGTAGTCCCAGCTACTAGGGAGGCTGAGGCAGGAGAATGGCGGGAACCCGGGAGGCGGAGCTTGCAGGGAGCTGAGATCCGGCCACTGCACTCCAGCCTGGGTGACAGAGCGAGACTCCGTCTCAAAAAAAAAAAAAAAAAAAAGAACCTTTAGCAGCATCCCTGGCCACTACCTGCTAGATGCCAGTAGTACCCCTCTCCCCAGTTGTGACAAAATGTCTCTAGATATTGCCAGATGTCTGCAGGGGGCAAAAATGTCCCTGGCTGAGAACCACTGCTCTAATATAAAAGGCTGCATGAAACAGAAACTGGCATTCTAAGAATACAAGTAATTGCCATGAATACAGTCTACATACTATGTGATTACGCATGTTATTAACAAATTAAGAATAATTTAAAACAATTCTCTCCTGTTACCTGTTTAGAATGTGCCTGTGTGTTTATGTAAGCATGAGGTTCATTTTAAATAAACTTAAAATTTCCCAGACAACCAAGATTTTTCTACTAGTAGGTGAACTTTGGAATACTTTTCTTCTCACCAATAATAATAGGATATTCTGGCTTGGTGCAGTGGTTCATGCTTGTAATCCCAGCACTTGAGGGGGCCAAGGCAGGAGGATCGCTTGAAGCTAGGGGTTCAAGACCAGCCTGGGCAACATAATGAGACCTTATTTCTACCAAAAAAACACGGCCGGGCACAGTGACTCAAGCCTGTAATCCCAGCACTTTGGGAGGCCGAGACGGGCGGATCACGAGGTCAGGAGCTCAAGACCATCCTGGCTAACATGGTGAAACCCCATCTCTACTAAAAAATACAAAAAAACTAGCCGGGTGCAGTGGTGGGCGCCTGTAGTCCCAGCTACTTGGGAGGCTGAGGCAGAAGAATGGCATAAACCCGGGAGGGGGAGAGGTGGACCTTGCAGTGAGCCGAGATCGCGCCACTGCACTCCAGCCTGGGCAACAAAGCAAGACTCCGTCTCAAAAAAAACAAAAAACAAAAAAACACAAAAAGTTAGCTGGACTGGTGGGTGCATGCCTATGTAGTTCTAGCTATTCAGGAGGCTGAGGTGGGAGGATGCCTTGAGCCTAGGAGTTCAAGGTTATAGTGAGTTGTGATTACACTACTGCACTCCAGCCTGGGTGACAGAGCAAGACCCTGTCTCAAATCATGATGATGATTAGATATTTTCTCAGTAGCTGTGGAGACAGGATGATAACAAGAGTGCCTGCTCTAACTAAAGCACCTTTCTCATCCTTTTTTAAAAAATTGTCTTTCTGGAAAAATTCAAAAGTACCAGCTTTTATTGCCATTTTCTCAGATGTATCTTTTTTGGTGGTGACAGAGTGATAATCCAGTAACTACCATCTGGGCTTAAGAAATGACGACGTTCAAGGCCGGGCGCGGTGGCTCAAGCCTGTAATCCCAGCACTTTGGGAGGCCGAGACGGGCGGATCACTAGGTCAGGAGATCGAGACTATCCTGGCGAACACGGTGAAACCCCGTCTCTACTAAAAAATACAAAAAACTAGCCGGGCGAGGCGGCGGGCGCCTGTAGTCCCAGCTACTCGGGAGGCTGAGGCAGGAGAATGGCGTAAACCCGGGGGGCGGAGCTTGCAGTGAGCTGAGATCCGGCCACTGCACTCCAGCCCGGGCGACAGAGCCAGACTCCGTCTCAAAAAAAAAAAAAAAAAAAAAGAAATGACGACGTTCTTGTTGTTTCCTAAGACTCCTCGGTTCAGTTTCACCTGCATGGAATTCTCAGGGTAAATTAGTACACTATCTTAAAGAGAAAGACTAAATTCTTAATCTCTAATAAAACAAATTTTGTGTAAAACAAGAGCCAAAGAACTGACTGGGCTGTTTTGTTTATTTAAAGGAAAACCTGAATCTCTGCATCATGTAATGTTTAACTTTAAAAAAACAAAAACATGAAATCCCTCTTAACATGCTACTGTATGTTCCATTAAAGAAGAAAGCAAAGTGACCAAGTAGAAGTGTATAGGACAAGACAGTACCTCAGCCTGGGCCAAGGGGAGATTCAAGTAATTTATTTTTTTGCAGCCCAGTGGCAGAGTCTCTTACTCAGGTTGCTAAAGGGAGAATGTAACAAGAGAATTGACATCACTCCCTTCTTCAAAGCAACAAGGCATCTTGAAAGCTCAACTTCCTGGTGAAGCTCTGTTGTTGGTAGCAGGAATTATTTCACCCATGTGAAAAGACAGCTGAGTCTGAGATGAAAACTCTTCAAAGGAAAACCTCCCCTCAACAGTCAGAATGAAGAACTTCAGCCAACACATAATCAAATTCACTTTTGGTCTATCCCAGAATTTTGCATTGGGAAGAGAGGTAGGTACAGTTTCCCAGCCCACAGTCATTGCTTCATTCCTTGTCTGGATCAGGTGGTAGTTAGAAAAGAAGCTCTGCTACATCCATCTTCTATACCAGGAAAGAGGAAGAGTGGCAAAAGCAGAGTCTTGTCCTTCAGAGATTCATTCTGGTTCCGTTGTGGGCTATGGCATCCTGTTCCCAGTATATGCATTTTGAGATCAGATAGAGCTGCTCTTCCAGGAGTCAGCACCCACGCTCATGTCCGTCTTTCAGTTAAATCTCCTTGGTTTAGTAACTGTAAAAGATGGAAAGCAAATCTAGAATAGGTTACAGCTGAATTACAGAAAAAATAATTCATACTAAGTAAGGAGGAGGACGGAGAATGCACTGCAGGAAAAGGATTAAGAGTGGAGGATGGAGAGTGCACTGAAGGGGTAAACGAAGGGCATCTACTTCCAAAGCAAACACATGCACAGACTGACAGATGTCACTGTGGCCTTGAGACAGCACTCTTAGGCTGGAGTCATGGCCGATCTCAGCTCACTGCAAGTCCGCTCCTAAGGCTGCATTTTAACTCTGGCAATAGAATATTCTGAGTCTATAAGCCAAACTATTATTTGTGTAGTTATCTACTCACCAGTCAGTGACAGAGGAATCTCTTAACTTACAGGGAAAACAGAAATGGTGAAACCAAAATCTTATACATGTCAGCCAAAGGACAGGCTGAAGACTCAAGTAGGAGAAGGAAATAGGAAGAGGAGCTATTCCTTTATAAGTACTATATGAGAGCTGAAACCCGCTCATAAAAGATATAGGAGTTCCTTGGGCTTAAAAGAATACCTTTGCTGTGATGAAGGAAGGTAAGCCTAAGAGACTCCTGCACAATGGCAGCTACCACTAACATTCTACTCTATACACAAGGCTCTATTCAAAGGAGCTTTTGAAGTAATAAATGAAATTGGTTTTCATTTTAATATAAAAATAAAATGCAGCTGGGTGCAGTGGCTCATGTCTGTAATCCCAGCACTTCGGGAGGCTGAGGCAGGAGAACTGCTTGAGACCAGAAATTTGAGACCTGCTTGGGCAACACAGTGAGGCCCTGTCTCTACAAGAAAATTTTAAAAATTCGGCATGGTGGTACATGCTTGCAGTCCTAGCTACTTGGGAGGCTGAGGGAGGAGGATCGCTTGAGCCCAGGAGTTCAAGGGTGCAGTGAGCTATGATCATGCCACTGCACTCCAGGCTGGGTGACAGAGTGAGACTGTTTTCAGACAAACAAAAATGAGATGGGAACAATTCAGTAAAACTCAGGACAAAAACTGAACTTACTAAAATCTAGTAAGTGTGGCAGGAAAGTTAAGAATAGTGTGTTTTTAATGGAGGCCAAGATCCAGACCTTTGCAGTCAAACTTAGCAAAGGTACTTTATAAGAAATATTATAGAATTTGTAATTTCTATTTTTGCCTTGTTTTATTTGGAAAGCAATCTAAGATGCAGTCAACACTAGCTGGGGGCCGAGCGCGGTGGCTCAAGCCTGTAATCCCAGCACTTTGGGAGGCCGAGACGGACGGATCACGAGGTCAGGAGATCGAGACTATCCTGGCTAACACGGTGAAACCCTGTCTCTACTAAAAAATACAAAAATACAAAAAACTAGCCGGGTGAGGTGGCGGGCGCCTGCAGTCCCAGCTACTCGGGAGGCTGAGGCAGGAGAATGGTGTGAACCTGGGAGGCGGAGCTTGCAGTGAGCTGAGATCCGGACACTGCACTCCAGCCCAGGCGACAGAGCGAGACTCCGTCTCAAAAAAAAAAAAAAAAAAAAAAAAACACTAGCTGGGAATCTCTTATACTGGTTCTTGAGTTCAAGAATGTGAACTCAATGTCAATATGGAGCCCCATTTAGAATGACCTTTAGTAAGTATTAGAGCCCAAAGCCCTGGGGGTCCCAGTTGGGCCTGTGCAAGGAGTCCTCCATCTAATTCTCAGATGTGGCACAATGATGAGGAAAAACAGAGATTTTTCCATCTGAACCAAAGAGAGGTGAATTGTAGTTTCTGATATTTTCCCATGGTAATTTCTTTTCTTTTCTTTCTTTCTTTTTTTAAACAGAGTTTGGCTCTGTCACCCAGACTGGAGTGCAGTGGCATGATCATGGCTCACTGCAGCCTCAACCTCTTGGGCCCAAGTGATCCTCTCACCTCAGCTGCTCCCAAGCAGCTAGGACCAGCTAATTTTATTTTATTTTTTGTAGAGATGGGGTTTCCCTGTGTTGCCCAGGCTGGTCTCAAACTCCTAAGCTCAACTGATCCTCCCACCTCAGCCTCCCAAAGTGCGAGGATCAGAAGCATGAGCCACCGCACCCAGCCTCTCATGACAATTTCTGATAACAGATTTGGTTGTTCTCTGGTATTCTTGATAAGCTATTTTTTATTTTTAGAGCATATTTACAGGAATTACAAGTTCATCAGTAGACTTTGATCTATACTGCTTGGTGATCTCCAAAAAGGTGAAATGGACATGTGTTGCAAATAGCCTTCACCTTCTCTGGCACCTGAAAAGTTCTTAAGGAATCAAATTCCTCACTCACTGGAGAAATGGCAAGTTATTACCTAGACCTTGGATGAGGAAGAGGACTAAGTCTGGAACCCTGAGGACCTCACAGCTTGAAAAAAAAAAAAAGGAAGGTATTGGAGGACCCAAGCTAGTGAAGAAAGAAAAGGAGGGGATAAGCAATGGAAATGCCTGTGGTAAGAGGAGGAGAATGGTAAAAGTGAAGAAAACACAAAATAAGTGAGGCTCAGACAGAGGGTATGTTTGTAAATATACAAAAACCCGTGAGGAAAAAGTGACAGTGCAGGATTTTCAGCTACATCAAGGACAGCACTTTCCCCTTTGTGTTATTAATATTTTTCTAAGTGTTTTGGGCTTCCATTATGAAACTGGGTACTTAGGGCCTGCAGGCCCTTTGTGTCCTCCTGGAGTGAAGACCATACTTCCTTTTTTTTGTTTGATTTTTGGGATGGGATCTCTCCCAGGCTGGAGTGCAGTGGCACAATCATAGTTCACTGCAGCCTCGAACTCCTAGGCTCAAGTTGATCTCCTGCCTCAGCCTCTGGAGTAGCTGGGACTACAGGTATGTACCACTATGCCTGGCTAATTTTTAAAAAACCTTTTGTAAACACAGGATCTTGCTCTGTTGCCCAGGCTTGTCTCGAACTTCTGGCCTCAAGTGATCCTCCCACCTTAGCCTCCAAAATTGCTGGGATTATAGGCATGATCCACCACACCCAGGTCTGTCTTGTTTTTTAGGCAGCCTGTGTTATGCTGTCTCCCTGAGGCTGTAAATGGGCAGCACCTATTACACATGGATGCTCTGAAGCCAATTCCAAGACTCACGCCTGTAATCCCAGCACTTTGGGAGGCGGAGGCAAGTGGACTGCTTGAGTCCAGGAGTTCAAGACCAGCCTGGGCATCATAAGACCCCCATCTCTACAAAAAATACAAAAAAAATTAACTGGGTGTGGTAGCATGTGCCTGTGGTCGCAACTACTCGAGAGGCTGAAGGAGGAGGATCACCTAAGCCTGGGAGGTTGAAGGCGCAGTGAGCAGTGATTGTGCCATTGTACTCCAGCCTGGGTGACAGTGTGAGACCCTGTCTCAAAAAACAAAGACACAATTAACATTATACTGTTCTAGTTTTATCTATTTCCTCCTTTTGTTGTTGTTGCTGTTTGTGATGGAGTATTTCAAAGCAAATTGTAGGCATGTCATTTCTTCTGTATGTATTTCAGTATATGCCTCTAACAGATACAGTATTAAAACTGTCGAAGTTAGGGCCGAGCACAGCGGCTCACACCTGTAATCCCAGCTCTTTGGGAGGCTGAGGCGGGTGGATCACTTGAGATCAGGAGTTCAAGACCAGCCTGGCCAACAGGGTAAAACCCTGTCTCTAATAAAAATACAAAAATTAGCCGGGCTTGGTAGTGGGCACCTGTAATCCCAGCTACTGAGGAGGCCGAGGCAGGAAAATTGCTTGAACCTGGAGGCGGAGGTTGCAGTGAGCTGAGATCGCACCACTGCACTCCAGCCTGGGCGACACAGTGAGACTCCATCTCAAAAACAAAACAAAACAAAACAAAAAACCAGTTGTCAAAGTTAGGAGATAGGTGTGAGCTGCCGCGCTCAGCCCTAACTTTGACGTGTGTTTATCATACTAGTCTCTCTCTCACTATATTCTGAAAATTTCCATAATAAAAGTTTTAAAACAGAAAAATGAAGACAAGAAAAATGGAGGAGAAAGACGAAGACTCTGTGAGACATGTATGATTCATTCCAAAGCAGTTACCAGAAAAAGTGACTTAGGAAAGAACCAATGATATCAAGAGCAAAAACTTTAAATACAAGCAAAGAAAATGGGTCATGACAATGAATAGAAAAGTCCTGGGAAAAGCATTAACATATATGACCAGAACCCTATAATCCTGGGTACCCCCAAAGATACTAGAGAATAATGGAGAATATTCAATATAGGATGCAGAATCATTCAAATGATGTAATAGCTTACTGTGGTATAAAGGTTATAATGAAAAGCAAGAAGGCTGGGCACAGTGGCTCACGCCTGTAATTCCAGCACTTTGGGAGGCTAAGGTGGGCAGATCACGAGGTCAAGAGATCGAGACCATCCTGGCCAACATGGTGAAACCCTGTCTCTACTAAAAATACAAAAAAATTAGCCGGGCGTGGTGGCGGGCGCCTGTAGTCCCAGCTACTCGGGAGGCTGAGGCAGGAGAATGGCGTGAACCCAGGAGGCGGAGCTTACAGTGAGCTGAGATCACATCACTGCACTCCAGCCTGGACAACGGAGCAAGACTCTGACTCAAAAAAAAAAAAAAAAAAAAAAAAGGGAGAAAAGATGGAAGAACACCATAAAAACTAATGTAATACTGAAAGGATCCAAGCTACATAGGTTTTGACAAAAGTTTATGCCTATGAAATGTGCTCGTGATGAAGTAATCCACTCCCATGACACAAGACCAGTGAAATATCCCAAGATTCTAAAAGACTGACCAGTTTGCATTCTGTTTTCTGAGTCAAACCCAGTACTGGTCCATGCCCTGTTAGGAACTGGGCCGCACAGCAGGAGGTGAGCAGCAGGAGAGCAAGCATTACCACCTGAGCTCCACCTCTCCTGTCACATCAGCAGCAGCAATAGATTCTCATAGGAGCACAAACCCTATTGTGAACTGTGTATTTGAGGGATCTAGGTTGCGCACTCCTTATCAGGATCTAATGCCTGATGATCTAAGGTGAAATGAAACCGGTCCCTGGTGCCAAAAAGGTTGGAGACCACTGATTTAGATAATGGTTCTCACTTAGCAAGCAAGTGAACAAATTTGTATATGCCCATTTGGTTAAGCCTGGTATCTCCCAGACATTTGACCATAGCAGAATGAGCAATAATTACGTTTAATGATTTTGTTACTATCTTTTTTGCTGAGGGACTTTTTCCAGGATGTTATTTCCGGAGAAAAGAAAGGGCTCTCTAGGAAATACTCGCTCATCTCTGGTACAGAAATTTCACCCAATTTACACAGGCCAGGCCCTCTTCTCTGAATAATTTAACAGGTGAGGTCAACATGCATTTATGCAGTGCCTGCTGTGTGCCTTTATAAAATAAAAGCTGTATCTTCATGTTATAGTGTGGCAGAGAATAGTAGGAACAGATATCAACGAGGAATGTGTATAAAAGAACTTTAAAGCTGCGAGTCCCAGCTGTAACAGACCAATCTCCAATTCGTTAAGACCCTAACCCTCAGGCTCCTTTCAAGCTGAACTCATGCTTAATTTAAAGGAAAATATTTGTGTCAAAGTTTCCAGGAAATGGAAACTGGAGACTTTTTCAGGTCCCCTAAATTCTCAATCATTCCCCACACAAATTGCCACAGAAACAAAGGGCAAGAGACCACTTTACCTCTTGTGGATTTACTGCAGTTAAGACAGAAACTTCATATGATTGCCTCCCTGACTGCATGGTCACCAGGTGATGTGTCACATCAGGCACTGAAGACAGGGAACGTGGGGATCCTTCAGCAAGCACCTCTGTGAAGCAACAGAAAAATGTTTCAATGAAAAGTGAATCCAGAGATATACCTATCTGGATCATTAAGCCTCTCATTAACAACTCTAAAACTCTATTCCTCTATTTCCCACATTCCTCTATTTCTTCCAAATTAATCCTGTCTCATAAGCATTATCAGTAAATTTGGAAAGTATTATAAAAAGAGAATAGAAAGGCAAGAAATCTTAATACAGAATTTAGAATAATACGGCATTAGCACTGTTAACTGAATTAAAACTATGTATGAAACGGGCAAAAGCTCTTAGGCAAGCAGGTAAGGGAACCAAAGCCACCCTTAAAGCAGTCGCCAATGATACTAATAGCACTCACTAACTGAATATGATGAGAGTAACAAAAACACAGGGCCTCACAGTTTTTAAATGTTCATCAGTGGGATCACCATGAAAATCTTCTGGAAATAGTTTATGGTTATACCACTTAGCCCTCAAAAAATTAAAAGTTTCTTCTAGGGGTTTTCTAGCTTATATGACTATTTTATGCTGTACCATAATTTAATGTTGGCTTATATACTATTTTTTATCTCTCAATGTTCTTTCCCATATATATGTAAGCTTTCAGTTCTCAACTGGATTTTAAGGTTCCTATCTTCTACTTTTGTCTTTCCCATGGTGCCAGGCACACAGTAGGCACTGAATAAATGCATGCTGACCTCACCTGTTAAGTTTTTCAGAGAAGAGGGCCTGGCCTGTGTAACTTGGGTGAAATTTCTATACCAGAGAGGAGCAAGTGTTTCCTAGAGAGCCCTTTCTTTTCTCCAGAAGATATGGCTTTTGAAGGTATGGAGAAATTGCTTTATATCTCCTCTGTAAAACCTGGTTATGTTCTGTTTAAATGTTTTAAAAGTTAAGTTCTTCCATAACTGCAATAGGAAAGATAGAAATAGTTGGGCTAAGGATGCTAGGATTATGAATAATTTTTTCTTAAGAATTTTTTTCTTTTTATTCTTTTATTATATTATCTTCAATGAAAAAAAATTTTTTTAAAACAGATTCACTAATCCACCCCAGAAAAAAGAACACAAATGTTACTCATACCACAGCTACTCATAAGAAATGAAATTTAAACATACATTGTGGAGACACCCCGTTCCTTAGCCCCTAGTTGCAGTCCATTTTTCCCAAAAAAAGCAGAGTTGGAAGTCTTACCATCATCAACTCCCAGGATAGAATTGGTATTTGGTAGGTTCAAGGACTCTCCACCAAGGCTGGGCTGGGAATTCATAGACACCAGGTTTTTACCGGGTACTGAAGCCTCTTCAAGCAAACTACTGCCCATTAGTGGCTCAGCTGCACAGAGAATAGGTTGTGAGAGACATACAGCAATCAAGGCTGTGCCTGGTCCTCATTTTCTTTCAACAGGAAGCTGGCCTTCTCTTTCATTACTAGAAGTTAACCTATAGATGGGATGCCACCTATTTCACCTACTTTCGAGAAACAAGAATAAACCTAGAAGGGAAAGAGTAAGCCTTAGAAGATAATGATCCTTGCTTGTGTTCAGCATCTGAAGAATTAGCGTATGAAACAGGATAGGTGGATCTTTAGAAAGGAATATTTGGAATAATTAAGGAAAGATATGGCAAAGGAATAAGAATTAAAAAGAGTTATCAAATTTCAGACAGGGCAAAAAGGTAGTCATGACTGGTAAGTAAAATACGCTTCCAGCCTGGCCAACATGGTGAAAACCCATCTCTACAAAAATGCAAAAATCAGCCAGGTGTGGTGGCACCTGCCTATAATCCCAGCTACTCAGGAGGCTGAGGCAGGCAAACTGCTTGAACCCAGGAGGCAGAAGTTGCAGTGAGTCGAGATGGCGCCACTGCACTCCAGCGTGGGTGACAGAGCGAGACTCCATCTAAAAAAATAAAAAAGCTTAAACTCTTGCCATGCAGAAATCTTTTATCACTGTGTTACTCAAATGCTGGTTCATGGATCAGCACTAGTTACCATCAAAATCACTAGGGGAACTTTTAAAACTACAGATTCTGGGATCTTGCAAATTATCTCATTTATCAGATTGCTTTGTTTTATTGGTGGGGGGAAAAGCAACAAAAAGTATACAAATTTTAAAAGGTTGCAGATGATTCTACTGTACAGCTATGTTTGGAAACCATCAGCCCATCAAATGAGACCAGGTCTATCTACCTAAAACAGAATCAGAAAATTTCCAGATAACCAGGCAAGACAGTGATTTGGCTCTTTGAACCCTAGAAGGTATAGCCCTCCACTCTGTCCACCCTCCTCACCAGTTTGCTCCTGCTCTTGACTCCCAGCTGCTCCCAGCTGCAAGTGATGCTTTCTCATATGCACATTCCTGCTTCCACTCTGAGAGAAGGTCTTCCCACAGACTTGGCACTGATGAGGCTTTTCTCCTGAAACAGGGACCAGGTTAAACAGGGAAGCCAACGGCCGGGCGCGGTGGCTCAAGCCTGTAATCCCAGCACTTTGGGAGGCCGAGACGGGTGGATCACGAGGTCAGGAGATCGAGACCATCCTGGCTAACACAGTGAAACCCCGTCTCTACTAAAAAATACAAAAAAAAAAAAACCAAACTAGCCGGGCGACGTGGCGGGCGCCTGTAGTCCCAGCTACTCGGGAGGCTGAGGCAGGAGAATGGCATAAACCTGGGAGGCGGAGCTTGCAGTGAGCTGAGATCCGGCCACTGCACTCCAGCCTGGGCAACAGAGCGAGACTCCGTCTCAAAAAAAAAAAAAAAAAAAAAAAAACAGGGAAGCCAAAAGGACAGGAAGAGAATGAACTCAAGACCTAGATGGAGAAACCCAAAGAATGTTAAACTCAACATAAGCAGCAGCTCCTTTTCCCATTCCCCACCTTCCCAGCCTCTCAAACTTCAGCATATGGGGGAAGGCAGGAAGAGTACACCAGGAGGGCTTTAGCACACTCCCTGCTCCCAGCCCCTGGTCCTTTCCAGACTCACTGTAATGCTGCCTTCACAAAACCTCTTTGGTATAGGACCATGGCAACCACAAAAAATAGGCCTTCTTTTTCAGATAGTCGTCCATGGACCTCTAGGATATGTGCTTTCCTCAAGGATTCCAATCCTGGGTTCCTAATATCCCCTTGACATATTCCCCGCCACCCTCTTTAGGGTCAACATTCACACTGGTGGCTCTTCTAACATAATAATCTAAATTGTCCTCTATGTCTTCAAGTCCCAGACTCTCCGTCTCCATTCTACCTACCCAGACAACCATACTTAGAGCAGAGGTCAAAAACTCCTGTCTATAGGGGACTGATAGGTAGCGAAAGTAAAATCGCCCAGTGGAGGCCACAGTAACCTAGAGAGTACCTAGAAAAGGGGCAGCTATTATTCAGCTCTAGCCAGCTGTTGCCATAGGTAGATTAAGGCCTACCACAGCCAGGTTCTGATTTTTTTTTTAAATAAGGATTTTTAAGTAGAATCTCCCAATTTCTAAATGCTAGGAACAAATTCACAATTGATAAACACATGGTACAGCAATCTTCATTGCTGATTGTATTTTGCTGGGAATGCAAAATACAAAAACCTCTTTGGGGGAATCGGACCACATCTAGAAAAACTGTAGATGCACTTGCCCTTTGACCTTGGAATCCCACTTCTAGGAATATATCCCAAAATTATAGTGGCAAAATGTGAAATACTCTATGCACAAGGTTATTCATCACTGCAACATTATTTTAAATGGCTAAATACTGGAAACAACGTAAATATTCATCACAGAGACTGACTAAAAAGCTATAGATACTGCAATAGTCCTGCATAGCCAAAAAAAAAAAAAAAAAAAAAAAAAGCTATACAATAGAAACAGGGTAGAATATTACAAACCTTAAAACTAAAAACTGAGTCACCATTTGAACCAGCAATCCCATTACTATCTACCCAAAGGAAAATAAACTGCTCTACTAAAAAGACACCTGCCCTCACATGTTCACTGCAGCACTATTCACAACAGCAAAGACATGGAATCAACCCAGGTGCCCATCAGTGGTAGATCAGATAAGGAAAATGTGGCACATACACACCATGGAATACTGTGCAGCCATAAAAAAGAATAAAATCATGTCCTCTGCAGCAACATGGATGCAGCTGGAGGCCATTATCCTAAGCAAATTAACATAGAAACAGAAAATCAAACACCACATGTTCTCAGTTGTAAGTGGGAGCTAAACACTGGGTACTTATGGACACAAAGATGGGAACAATAAACACTGGGGATTCCAAAAGCAGCTATGGGGCAAGGGCTGAAAAACTACCTATTGGGTATTATGTTCACTGCTTGGTCAACAGGATCATTAGTAGCCCAAATGCAATATACCCTTGTAACAAACCTGCACATGTACCCCCTGAATCTAAAATAAATAAAATAAATAAATTTATTTTGGCCAGGCGCAGTGGTTCACACATGTAATCCCAGCACTTTGGGAGGCCGCACAGGCAGATTACTTGAGGTCAGGAGGTCAAGACCAGCCCGGCCTACATGGTGAAACCGCATCTCTACAAAAATTAGCTAGGCGTGGTGGCGGACGCATGTAATCCCAGCTGCTTCGGAGGTTGAGGCAGGAGAATTGCTGGAACCCAGGAGGTGGAAGTTGCAGTGAGCCAAGATCATGCCACGGCACTCCAGCCTGAGCCACGGAGCGAGACTCCGTCAAAAAAAAAAAAAGGCCAGGCGCGGTGGCTCACTCCTGTAATCCCAGCACTTTGGGAGGCCAAGGTCGGGGGATCACGAGGTCAGGAGATCGAGACCATCCTGGCTGACACGGTGAAACCCCATCTCTACTAAAAATACAAAAAATTAGCTGGGCATGGTGGCCGGCGCCTGTAGTCCCCAGCTATTTGGGAGGCTGACGCAGGAGAATGGCGTGAACTTGGGAGGTGGAGCTTGCAGTGCGCCAAGATCGCACCACTGCACTCCAGCCTGGGAGACAGCAAGACTCCGTCTCAAAAAAAAAAAAAAAAAAGAAAAAGTCATGAAATATCCAGAACAGGCAAATCAATCCAGAGACAGAAAGCAGATTAATGGTTGCCAGGGGCTGGAGGAAGAGAGAAATGGGCAATGATACTTATAATGGGAATTCTTTTTCTTTTTTTAATCATCTCCTGGATATGGGGATCCTTTTTGGGATGATGAAATGTTGTGGAGTTGGACAGTAGAGAAAACTATAAAACTATGAATATATGAATATATAGTTGGCTATACACATCCACTGATTGAACCAAGCAGATAAAAAAAAATTCAGAAAAAATAAAAATAAAAAATAACAGGCCAGGTGTGGTGGCTCATGCCTGTAATCCTAGTACTTTGGGAGGCCAAGGCAGGTAGATCACTTGAGGTCAGGAGTTCAAGACCTGGCCAACATGGTGAAACCCTGTCTCTACTAAAAATACAAAAATTAGCCAGGCACGTGCCTGTAATCCCAGCTACTTGGGAGGCTGAGGCAGGAAAATCACTTGAACCCAGGAGGTGGAGGTTTCATTGAGCCGAGATCATGGGCCACTGCACTCCGGCCTGGGCAAGAGCAAGACTCCATCTAAATAAATAAATAAATAAAAAATAACAATATAGTAATAAAAAATACAAATAAAAAACCAATATGGCATAACTATTCACATAGCAGTTACGTAGTATTAGGTACCATCAGTAATCTAGAGATGATTTAAAGCATATGGGAGGATATGTGTAGGTTATATGCAAATACCATGCCATTTTATGTTAAGAGACTTGGGTTATTTGTGGATTTTGATATCTGCTGGGGTCCTGGAACCTATACACCACAGATAACAAGGGATAATTACATTACTACTAAAAATCACTTAGCTGCACACTTGTCTTCTTTTTATATTTTAGACAGAGTCTCACTCTGTCACCCGGGCTGGAGTGCAGTGGCATGATCTTAGTTCACTGCAACCTCCGCCTCCCGGGTTCAAGTTGATTCTTGTGCCTCCACCTTGTGCGTAGTTGGGATTACAGGCACACACCACCACACCCAGCTACTTTTTGTATTTTTAGTAGAGATAGGATTTCACCATGTTGGCCAGGCTGGTTTTGAACTCCTGACCTCAGGTGATTCACCCGCCTCAGCCTCCCAAAGTGCTGGGATTACAGGCTTGAGCCACCGCGCCCGGCCGAGATGAATCTTATGGTATGTGAACTATATCTCAACTTAAAAAATGTATGGATGAAAAGGGAGGGAAATACGAAAAATAACCTGCATTTGCTTGTATATGCAAAAAGAACCATTGGAAAAGTAAACCAAATAGGAAATAAAAAGTGGTTATATCTATAAGAGGAGGAGGGAGGGAACATGGTAAAGTGACACACTTTAATCAAGGCTTTTTGAATGCATCTAGCTTTGACTCTACATATTAAAAAGACTTCAAAAAGAAACTGAAGCAAATCTATATATCAGGCTGGCGATATATTAAAACAATGATTTAAAAGGTATTTAAACATAGTATTATTCTAAGAAAAATACAGCTCCAAGAGTCTTAAACTTCATTCTGTAGACAAATTGATAATATTGGTATTATCATTTTGAAACAATATTGCATTAATGTTAGGAACCAAGATTTTCAGTGTAAGAGAAAAAAATATAAAGTACAAAAAAATTCCCTGAAAATTGTTTAATGTGAAAATTTAAATTGGAATTATCAATATGAACCAATTATTTTATTTTCAAAAATATGTCTTCTCTAGTTCTTTCCACCAAAAAGTTCTAGAAACAGTAACAACCTTCTTTTTTTCTTTGAGATGCAGTCTCGCTTTGTTTCCCAGGCTGGAGTGCAGTGGTGTATCTTGGCTCACTGCAGTCTCCACCTCCTAGGTTCAAGCGATCCTCATGCCTCAGCCCCCCAAGTAGCTGGGATTACAGGTGCATGCCACCACACCCAGGTAATTTTTGTATTTTTTTTGTAGAAACAGGGCTTCACCGAGTTGCCCAGGCTGGTCTTGAACTGATGGGCTAAAGTGATATGCTCACCTCAGCCTCCCAAAGTACCGAGATTACAGACATAAACCACTGTGCCCTGCCAACAATGACAACCTAACAGCAACGGGCACATGGCACCCAGACTGTGGTTCAACTATAAGGAACTAGGACTCCATGGAGGAATAGCTGATTCCAAGTCTAAGGTAAGCCTGGGAACTGTTGTTGTGTTATAAAGCAAAGAGGCTATAGCAACACAAATGGGTCATGTCAAAAGCATAAATACGGCATGAGAAGCTCCGAAAATAACAACCAGGCCAGGCACGGTGGCTCACGCCTATAATCCCAGCACTTTGGGAGGCCAAGGCAGGTGGATCACTGGAGGCCAAGAGTTCAAGACCGGCCTAACAAGGCAAAACCCCATCTCTACTAAAAAATGTGCAAA